AAAACACACAAGGCTGGGACACCGCCCCCACCCCCCCACCCCCGAGCTTCTGATTAGTAAGTCTGGGTGGAACCTGAAGATACACATGTCTAGCAAGTTCCCAAGTGATGCTGCAGGTTTGGGGACCACACTTAGAAAACCACTACCCAAGTTCATTCCACACCCAACCCAGGATGGACTCACCTGCCCTGTCCCTTGAAAAGGGCCTTCTCCTTGGCTCTGATCTCATCACAGCATTGTAGGTTCTGGAAGAGTGGGACCCATCTTCCAGGTGGGCCTGTGATGCGGGCCAGCAGTGTGGATTCTAGAGTTAGACCCCCTGCTTTTGAGTCCCAGCCCTACCAGTGGCTATTTGGGCTTTCCTACCCGTGTTTTGAGAGCTTCTGACCTCATGTCCTCATCCGCTTGCCCAGCACATCACAGGTCATTACTGACAAATGCAAGACTGAAGCTTCCCAGTTCTAGAGCAAGCGGGATCGGCAAACATTTTCTATAAAAAGGCAGATGTCACTATTTTAGGCTAGGGCTAGCCCTGTGGTCTCTGTCACGTCTACTCAGCTGTTATAACCGAGAAGCAGGGGCCACGAACAATACATAAACGGGTGGGTATGACCTTATTTACAAAAACAGGCTGTACTGGATGGGATTTGACTTGTGGGCAGTAGTCTGTCACCCACTGGAATGGACCCATATGTGCACAACTTCCTCGTGCGTTCTTCAGTACCGGGGAGCCCTGGTCTTGCCACAGTAGCACAGTATTTAGCTGAGGAGCACAAGCACATTTTTTCAGGGTACCAAGGTTCTATCGGTGCTCCCCAGGAGCAATAAGTCCACTAATCCCTCAGTGCCCTGGGGAAAAAAGGTTAATGCCCTCCTTCTAGTGCTCACAACTGAGAGAGAGAATGGGATCCATTGGTAGAAATAGCATTATCCACATGGCATGGATCATTTTAATATGGAAAATGATCCTTTTTCATTAAACATTTATGTTCTGATTATGACAAAACAGAAGAGTGATTGCACAGTATATAGGTCACCCTTAGTCTCCGTATAAATACAGTATAACAGGTAAGGGTTTTACAAAAGAGAAATGGGAGGTAGGCAGACTGTCTTTAAATCTCATAGAGTGGGGGGGCGTCTGGGTGGTTCAGTTGTTAAATCTCATGGAGGGGGGGGATGGCTTTATTTCTGGTTTATACTGAAATGCCCATGTAGTTGCTTGTGATGGTGCAAAAGTGGGGGGGGGGGGCAGAGTAGTTCTGAAGTCTTATAGAATTAATTTGACCCTGAGCTTGATCTTGATACCTGATGGAAAAGGCTGAATTGGGAGCATTTATTTGGGGAAAAACCTCCAGCCTGGGTGACTTGGGGTAAAGTGTATTTTCTCAAAGTATCTCCAAAGGAGCAGAGCTGTGAGGTTGAAGCTAGATTGTGGAACTGGCAGAACCCCTCCAGGAGATGGAGGTAAATAAAACAAGCTGATGAGTTCCCCACAGCTTAGTCTGGACCAGCCATCCAGTGGCGGGTCATCGTCAGACCCAACCGTTTATTTTCCTGTTGGTTAATTTTCAAGGAAGTTTATAGAACAAGAGACACTTGTGCAGTTCTTTCTAGCTTTGGGTGCCTGGGTGGACATGACAGAGAACATCCATGCTGGGGTAACAAACTGGCCCTGAAAACAGGAGGCAGTGGGTAAGTTGGGAGAAATTATGGTTTAAAGAAAGAACAGTGATTCCTGAATCCTCCAGGAGCTCATGAGCTACCCTGAGCGTCATAGCCTCCTATCGCTCGTCTGTAAGATGGGCATAAGAATCCCAACCTCAGAGTTCTACAAATACCAGATGAGGTGAACGCGAAAGCATATTGTAAACCATAAAAGACTAAAGAAACACAAGCTAAAATAACAGCTAAGTCCTCCTGAGCGTTGTGCGCGAGCCAGGCTGTGCTCACAAGTGTGCTTTGTTTCAGGGCATGGTGGTTGATTGGATAAGGCCCCTCTGTCCAAAAAAAAAAAGTCCACATCCTCATCCCAGGAACTTAGGAATATTACCTTTTATGACAAAAGGGACTTGGTAGATGTAACTAAAAGATCCTGAGATGGGCAGGTTATCCTGGATTATTCAGTTAGGCTCTAAATGTCCTCATGAGGCTCCTCATTACAGGGAGGTGGGTCACAGTGAACAGTGGGAGATGTGACCACAGAAGCAGGAGGTCGGAGTACTGCAGGAAGGGACCACAGGCTGAGGACAAGCAGCAAAGGACAATGAAACATTCTCCTGATGCCGCCAGAAGAGAAGTGGTCCCATGAACCCACGTTAGACTTCTGACCTCCAGACTGTGTGTTGCTTGAAGTCACAAAATTTTTAGTAATCTGTTATTGTAGCAGGAGACAACCAATCCAGGTGTCATTGCTGGAGTTGGGCTTGCTTCATCCATGAAATGGAGGTGATCACAAAAGTGCCTGTCTCATAGTGTTTGCAGCAATGAGATGGTACAAGTAGAACCCTCAGCCCCAGTGCCTGCCTGGCACACAGTAAGCTCTCAGCTAATGTGGCAATTATTAGTATCATCGCATTAAATCGCCACCAAAGCTCTGAGATTGGTGCCATTATGATCTCCATGTTGAAGGAGGAAACCTAATGAGATTAAGATAACTTACTCACGGTTGCACGGGCTGCAAGTGACAGAGCCAGAATCTGAACCCAGTCTCTGCCTTCCAGGCACATGCTCCCCAGCGCTGCTCCACCGTGGGGGGGTTATACAACCACCAACTCCATTGATAGCCCGCTACTGAGGGGTGCAAACAACAGATAGAGCACCGTACTCCATGCATGGGCACAAGCCACCGAGACTGGAGCGCAAATAAATCGGGGTTTATCAGGGAAACAAAACCTGTAGCTGCCATGGAAGTTGGCATCCAAGAGGTCACCAGCCCTCTCTCATCCCTGGGCTGGCCAGCCCCACACAGCAAATCAGGAAAGTCTGAATACCGTGTTTAGTCATTTTGGTTCTAGAATAATTGCTATTATCGTAAATGTTTTATAGCCCTCATTACAGCTCACATTTAAATATCAGTGTAGTAATACATTAATAAGTCATTGCTGCCGGACTCCTGCCGGATGCAGTTATGGCCGAGCCCTGCATATAACTGCACTGTGTATTCAGCTCAAATTAGGGCTGGCTGTGAACTCAACCTGATGTGAGTGGCTGGACATGCTTGGAAGGAGGCCTCTTCTCTGCAGAAGGTTCTTGCTCTTTGCCTTTGAGAGAGGAAGATGGTCAGATTGTTGTCCGGTAGTGAGGCAATGACCCTAACGAGGTACCCCCAAAGTGTGGAGCCTAGAACTCTGGGACAGATAGGGAAACAAAGGCATCGTTTTGGCCCCAGAGGCATTCCTCATCCAGTGGACGACTGGGGGCGCATAGTCCCCACACCCAGGAAGCTTCCTGCCAAGGAAGTGAAGGGGCAGATTCTTCAGCCTTGTCAGATGAGATATTCTGAAGGCTACCTGGGTGTGGGGAGACAGGATGGGTTAACACACACTTCTTAGAAAAGATAAGCCATACGACACAGAACAGCTACGTGGCTTCCACTTCATAAAATGCCAAGTGTCTGCACAGGAACATTGGTAAAGTATGGAGGAGGCAGAAGCAGTCCACACAGACGTGGTCTGCGCATTCCTCTTTACCATCCCCTATGCCTAAAATGGTTGGACGTGTGGTAAATATGGGAGGAGGGAGGGACAAGTATTAGGTTCTATGTCTTTAGGTAAACAGATTTCCTTCTGGACTTATTAGCCAAACAAATGCTAAGTAGGCCCTGGGGAGTTGCAGGGATAGCCTGGGGCAAGGCGGGGTATAGTCACTGGACTCCTCCTGTTGTGGAGAATCTCTGCAGGCCCCTTGGGTGCAGTGGGTATGGGGGCCACTGTGCTGGATGAAGCTGTATTTCCACTTCTATGGAGGTTGGGGTTGGGGGAAACAGGAATGACCAGGACAGGACTCCACCAGTGTCAGTAAAATGGTAGCCTCCATTACTGAGTTTATACTGCACGCTAAGCCTTTTACCAGCCCGTGAGGTAGGTACCATTACCTGCCTCCTTCTGCCAATGAAGAACCTGTGGTTGAGAGATGCTGATAATTTGCCCAAGATCAAACAAGTAGGGTATATAAGACTCAGTTTGAATCGGATATGGACCAGGTCATGGGGCCGTAGTAATGCACAGGATAGAAAACGTTGGAGGGCATTTTAAGAGAAAGGTAATGTGATTACCAAGAGCCAAGGACAAAAGAAGTCTGCTTAACCAGTGAAGGCTTCCAAAGAAAGGCTTCTTCCTTGGCCAGTGGGGGCCCATGGGAGGGTAAGAGGGGGTGAGCTAGGGAGAACATACTTCCAGAATAAACTGTCCATGTAGCACCCTGTGTTCGGCAGTATGGGCAATGGGCAGAGCAGGGAAATTGAAACAAGATAGTGCTAGATTCAAGTCCCATCTCCCAAGCTCAGCAGCCAGGGGTCCCTGGGAGAATTCTGTCCCCTCTCCGGAGCTCCGCTTCCCCATCTGTAGCACGAGGATAACGCCTACCTAGCAGGGATGTGTGTTACTAACCAAAATGACCCGTATCGGTTTTCTTCTCTCAAAAAATGAGGACGGTAATATATAACGGACACTGTAGTGGTTGTGAGAATTAGAGATGTCATAGTGAGGCACCCAGCACATAGTAGGATTCAGGAAGTGATAATCATTGCTGCAGGTGGGTCTGTGAGTACTGAGAGGGCAGCAGAGGGGATGAAAGAGCTGCCTGAAGAAAAAGAACCAGGGATTCTCTTACCATCTGGAGATCTGCCCCCTTGTCTCCAGCTGCCCCATAGCTATTGATTTATGATCCTTTTGGCAGTCGCACCTATCCCTCCCCCACTTCCAGAAACGTCTTGGTGCTGCCCTCCCCCCACCCATGCTACTTCCTTGTTAACCCTTTCCCTTTTCCCTCTACCTTCACAGCACCCTCAACAACAACAACATTAGCCGTATCCTGGTCACGAGCTTCAACCACATGCCGAAGATTCGAACTCTGTGAGTAAAGGTCCCTGCTTCTGCCCCACCTGCTCCCTGCCACGCTCAGCCCCGTGTGCCATGCTCTGACCTGTGAAACCTGTTGTGCTGGCTCTGCACGTGGGTCCTAGAGCAAACCCTGCCTCCTTCCACCACTGACTGAGGTGCTGGTGAGCCCCAGATGAGGGAGAAGCTTCACAGGGCCATCCATGGTTCTCAACCCCCATTCCACGGTGGACAGACTCATTTCTCTTTAGCCTGGGATGGGGGAATTCGTCTTTGTGTGTTCCACCTTGATGGAAAAGTTTATTAGTGGTACATTGTCACAGAGCATGGACAGCTGAGACATAATGACTCACTATTTCCTGAGCTGATGTCACCTGCCATTGGCAGTTCTATCATGGTGCCATGGTCATGTTTTCCCCTCTGTGTGCCGTGGCGGAGTGGGAGCCTTAGTCCCGCCTTCTCTCCATCCTCCCAGCCCACACCCAACACACTCCCCTGCTCCCTTAACAATATTCTGATAGAATGCAGGAACTTGTTCTTGACCTTTAATTCTGGGGTAGGCTGCAGCCTTCCTTTTCTGTGTACTCAGAAAGCAAATCTCCCCACAACACCCCATACCGAGAGCAGTCCCAGTGCCTTTATTACCTGGGGAGTTCCCCTCTCCTCTCAACCAGAAAGCCTTTTGTAAGTTTCTCTGCAAATGGACTCTGTTGGGCTTTCCAAAGGGGTTCATAGGGATGGTTTTCTTGTGTTGGTGGAACTTCATTAGTGTTTGCATTACAGTAGAAGTGGAGAGCCAGCCCCCAAGAGCTTTCAGCTAAATACACATAGGGCCAAGGCAAAGGGCTGGAATGCCTGCTATGCCCTTTGTTAGCTCTGGGACCTCTGTTCCCTCCTCTGTCAATGGGGGTGCTGGGGAGGACTGGATGAGATGAGATATGTGGAGGGCCTGGCACGGAGTAGATGATGAATGATACTGTTACTGTTATCATCACTCTATCCAGAAATCTGGACTGAAAGTTCCAAGCAACCAGCCAGCTAATCAGTGGCCCCTGAGCAACATGGAATCCACAGAGATTTAAAAGTCCTTAGAGCAGTGGTTCCCAAAGTTGGGTCCCTGGACCAGCAGCATCAGCATCATGGAATGAGATTAGACCCACGGAATCCAAATCTCTGGGGGTGGTGCCAGCCTTCAGGTTGTAACAAGCCCCCCAGGGGGATTCTGATGCTCATAACGTTTGAGAACCCCTGCATGAGTGAGAAAGTGACCTTACCTTGGGGGCAAGGAATGAAGCAAGGAGCAGTGAGGCACTGTATAAAGAAACACACTGAGCTCCCTGAGCAGACCTGAGTGTAAAGGCTAGCTCTGACTGCCACTTACTCTGGGCAAGTTTCTTCATCTGTCTGCCCCGTAAGGACAGTGAATTCATAAATGCTTGTCTCACAGCTGTGAGAATGAGGTACGCTGGCAGTACTGTCATGGGATGCACTCAACAAATACTAGTTACTATGAAGAAGAATCTGAGTCCAGGGTTCATCATTGCTCCCCAGTTCTCCCTTCAGTCCCTCACGTGATAGCGTAATTCCATCAAGAAAATCTGTCCTTTGCCTTCCGCCTTTGAAGTGGGTTGGTGCAGTAATGGAGTTTTAAGGAGAAACCATGAGGTCTTCAAAGACCTCTTCACAGTCCACGGCAAGCCACAAATGAGCTGCAGAGGAGCGTGCCCAGGGCTTCTGGCCAGGAAAGCTGAAAGCGAGCCTCCTAGTGCAGGGCCTGCATCTCCCCAGACGGGGTGGTTGAATAGAAGAAAAATGACCCTCACCTGCAGAAACCCGCAGTCCAGTTCCTGTGGCTGCCCCTCTGTGATTCCGGCTTCCCCTCTTGCTGTTCTCCATCTAGGAACAGCAATAACAGAAACTGGGCTGGGTCCACGGGATGGGGCCCCGGGGCGGGAGCTGGGTCTGGCTCTCAGGTGCCTTGTTTGGCTGCCTTGGGTGAGAAAGGAGGGTGAAAGAGTTTCTTCTCCTCATTTCTGTTGTCATCCTTCCCTGTGGTCCCGAACACTCAGCTGATGAGTTCAGATCAATCAGTCAATCTCGTCTGTTCTCTTTGCTCCGTCCTGCTGCCACTTTCTCTTTAGTTTAATTTCAGAGACGGCTCTGTACAGAACTCCCCAGAGACTTGCACTGACTAATCCCCCTTCACTGTAATTAAAGTGGGGGTGGGGGAGACTGGTGGTGGGGGAAGGGGGAAAGAGGAGAGAGGAAGGAAGTCATAAATGGGATTTCTAAAGGAAAGCTTTTATATTTAATTCAGAAAGCCACATTTTATAGAAAATGAACACTGACCCTCTCTAAAAGGATTTGCTGGAAATTTAATTTAGCGCCTATGGCTAAAAGGCACCTTTTACAAATTGGCATTTGTATTCATTCACCTTATCTTCTATGAAGGTGGTTTTGCCAACGTGGAATACGGTGTTTCCATCAGCGAAAGATTGCGGAAATACATGCAGGAAACACCTAGGCACCTTGATGCCTTGGTGTCTAAGTAAGAAATGGTACCTTGTACAGGGAGGGCTGTGGGTTGGGAGGAGACAGAAGCGTGGGGCTATTCTCCTCACGACAGTAATAAGCACAGACATTACTTTAATGGCTAATAATGTGCAGGGCCTTGTGCTAAGCCCTTCTCATGAATCGTTTCAGTCCTCACAACAGCCCTGGGAAGGGGGCACCATTAATAGTCCCCATTTTATAGATCATAACACTGAGGCCCCGAGTTAAATCACTGCCCAAAGTCAGAGTCGGAAAAGCACAGAGCCAAAGTCAGATTTGCGCAGTTTGACATCAGAGCTTGAGCTCCTTCCATTCAGCAGAAACAAAAGCAGAAGAGCCAAGGAAGGGGAAACCAGAGCAGCCACCTGGCTGAAGGGCCACTGGAGGCCACCTTCGCCCAGGTCATTGCCATCCCAATTCACCAAAATTATGAAAAGTAAATAAAATAATTTTTCTTTGCGTAGAAACACCTATACACAAACAATGAATCATGGAACACTACATCAAAAACTAACAATATATGGTATGGGGACTAACATAAAAAATAATAATAGTAATTTTTCTTCTCACTCACGGAGATTAGGAATACTCCTGGCAGTGCCCAGGCTCACGTTTTCTGATCAATGTGATTACTTTCCTTTCATTATTCGTATTTGGGACGATACTACTCAATTTGATCTCCCAAACATGATATGAAAGGCAGATGCTTGGAAGAGTCTGCCCAGCTCAACTCTGCCAGCACTTCTGGTGGCTAAAATTCCAAGGAGGGTCGCGGGTAGAAGGATCTGAGCCCATCCACTGCCGTGGGCTTTTGACAAGAGCCTTCAGGTGGCTTCCAAGTCAGTTTTGGTCACCTCTTTCCCATGGTCTCACCTGGAAGGGGAGAAATCCCCCACAAAGGCAGACAAAAGGTTAGGAATCATCCGTAGGAAGGTAAGGAAGAAAGGTAGCTTGGGGCTGGCTGGCAGGGATTGAGAAAGAACCGACCTAATGTAATCTTCCAAAAGGAAAACCTCCAACAGTTTCATTCTCCCAGAAATTAATCCGCTTAATAAGGATCTGACTTACTTAAACCTCACTTTTGTCATTCCACTGATCTCTTACCCCTGATTGGAACGGATGGGAATTTGTCAACATTGATCTACCTTGTGGGCACATGCTCAGCGCTTCATAGGAATCCCTGTTTACTCAGCTTCCATACGTCACTTCAGAGAAGGCAGCCACCTTTCCTCATCAAAGCCAGACTCTCATTAGAAGGCTCTGACCCTCCTGGCACACAGAAGTACCCCAGCACCTCAGTCTCTGTTACCACTGCAACCTGCCTTTGCTCCACCTTGTCACGAGGACTGTCACTTGTCACTGTCGCCATTTTCCTAGGCAGCCTTTACACCCAGGGGTCTATTCCTGGCCACAGAACCAACACCCCATCCTTCTCTCTCTCTCTCTCTCCCTCCCCTTCCTCTCTTTCTCTCCCTCCACCTTCTCTCTTCCTCCTGTCTGTCTGTCTGTCTCTTTCTCTCCAACTCACTGATAGGAAACAGATCATTTTCACTCATGCTGAAATTTCCCAAGAAGGCCCAGGATAGAAAAGGAATTCCCTCGTCTCCTTCATGTCCTTCCCCTAATCTGGGAGCGTGCCCCCCTACGCTTTCCTGCCTGCGGCACCTCTTTCTGAAGTGCCGGATGAAGAGGAAGCAGCATAGGAGTCTGCGCTTTGAAACTCAAAGGGGAGAATCGCTTGGGGCCCATTATAGGCACAGTATCTTGGGCCTAGGAGCCTATGAAAACGTGTTCAACTTTAAAGTATTGACTCTGAAATCCAAAAGAACATCACAACATCAAAATTAATCATTTGGAAACAAAATCATAAAAATCTTCTCAAACTTTTTTTAGCAGAAAAAAAAAATTACCTCCTACATGGGTATGGGCTCATTTAGTTGGTCAGATATGATGGGATCTGGGGCCCCCTGAGGCTGTCGAGGCCCCCAGTGGCCCTGGCCTGCCCGAGCTTTGCACCCAGGCCATGGCAGGAAGGCTGTGCCGGCACGCCCCCCAAGGTAGCCGCACGTGGCCGATGCTGAGCAATGCTGACTTTATACTCAGTGGAGTGAGGTCAAGGGCCCTTCAACGCTCTCCATTTCAGGCATGGAGGTAGCCCAAGCCACTGCTTCAGGCCCCCACTCAGCATTAACCGACTTGACACCAAGTACTTGAAAGTCCCAAGATACCCCTGGCTGATTAGCATGTCCACGATTGGGCATTTGAAATTTGCATCAGAAACCCATCAGACTACAACTTATCTACCACCACTTCCAATGAGCTAAGGTTGTGGGGAATGTGGAAGCCCCTGATCGAGAAACCTTGGGGAAGAACCTGTAGAAGCCCCTAGGTATCCTTAGGTTGCCCCCCCTCTGCCCCATTAATGGAAAGTATCTTTAGTTTGCCCCTCAATTAATGGAAAGTAAATTCTAGTCATTTAACCAGATGGGATTCCTTTCAGAAGTAGGACATGCAGATCCCTCTAGCAACTCTTAATCACTCAGAGGCAAGAAACTGATCTGGAATCACAGCTACTGGAGGGGAAAGGCCAAAGAGTCCCGGAACTGGTTAGGGGTCTTTCCTGAACCAGAATAGCAAATACACCTGGTGGAATTTAACTTGAGAAGAAGAGGAGGGCTGTGGAGACATTGCTGTGAGCTCCAGGAGTCTGGGATGGGCAGCTCCTTATTTAAAGGGGGGTGGGTGGAGAGAAGATGCATCCTTCAAAAGGGAAACTGCCCCGCATGCCCTGCTCCCTGGGCTAGTGCATACAAGCTCCCCAGCATTCCCTGTAGGGGTTCATTCACTGAAGGGAGGAAATGAAGGAGAAAGAGTGAAGGCAACGGCAGGTCTTGGCCACAGTGCCACTGTAGACTGAGGCGTTGAGAGTGAGGAGCTGTCTCAAGCCATCTGGAGACCAGGCTAACTATAGTACTGAAATTTGCAACCAAGTCACCTCTTTGGAAGTTTGACTCGAATCTGAACCATCGCTTTAATAATGTCACTTTCCTCCTCCTACATGCTGAGGCTTTCTTGAGTGGGGAAAAAAAAAAAGAGTGGCATTACTATTAAGAAATGGGGACTTGCTCGGAACGCCGGAGGCATCCGTGGGATGTGCCCTGCATGTGAAGATAACAGTCGTTTGTGGTTTGGCAGTAAAAGGGCTGAGGCTCCTGTGGTAACTCACGAGTGCAGAGGGAGATGCTTCCCTGGGCTCCTGAGGATTATCACGCTGGGCCGAGGGGCTCAGAGGTTTGGCCTGCTCTGTTCACTCCATGCTATGACCACATCTTACCTCTGTCCCTCGCTCTCCCAGGCGCCTGCACTCCAACCACCTGCACTGTGACTGCCACCTGGCCTGGCTGTCGGACTGGCTACGACAGCGGCGGACTATTGGCCAGTTCACACTCTGCATGGCTCCTGTGCACCTGAGGGGCTTCAACGTGGCAGATGTGCAGAAGAAGGAGTACGTGTGCCCAGGTGAGCCTGCCCGGCCCCTCTCTCGTCTGTACTGTGACTCACCCACCGCCGAGCCCTCCCCGACATCACCCAGCCCAGAGCTGGGCATGGAATCTCCTATGTTCCCCAGCACTCCATAGTCACTTGGACTCTGGGGTGCCCTGAAGGGTTCTGAGGAAGAAGTTCTTGTCATCTAGCAAAGGAAACTGCTCAAGGAAGTAATGAATCCCTTTCTGTTAAGCTTCATCGTCCATCGATGCTAAGAAACTTAACATGTGTTAAGTACATTGTTTAGCGTTTCCTACACACATGCCTATTGCCTGATTGCTCATAGAAGTTGAGAGACAAGTTAATGGAGGTGGTGGGGTCAGCCTGCTTGGCTGGAAACCCTCGCTCTGCCCCTTAGTAGTGTGTGACTTTGGCAAGTTACCACATGTCTGCAAAATGGAAAAATCGTAGTACATAACTCTAGGGATGGGTGGGACGATTAAATGAAATAATGCATAGAAAGCACTTAGCATAATACACAGCACTTGGTAAGAGCTAGTAAGTGGAGCATAATTATTATAGTTTAGTGGGCCCACAAAATGTGCTGAGCAAACATAAGAGTTTGATCTGTGGGTAATTGAAGTGTAATAGAAGCACAGATTGTCCGCGTAGTACAGAAAACAGAACTGTGCACAGAACGGAAGGCAACGCAGACCTCCAGGGACGGGAGGTGGCTGAGGGACCCGAGAAGATTCTCCCAGAGGATGTAGTGGCTTTTAAACGCAGTCCTCAGTTCCAAGCTTGCTTATTTGTTTTTACTTTTCATTGACACCCTCTACTACCACCAACTCCCTCTTTCTGGGGGCAAAGTAGAACTAATCCCTGAATTTCCTCAAAAACAAAGTTTTCAGTTGAGGAGTTTCTCACAGAGGCGTCCCCAATTTCCAGGAACCCAGTCCCAGAGTGGGGGCTCAGTGGCCTCTGAAGGCTGATCTTAGGGGGTCAGCCTGCTGGAAGGAGGAAGGATAGGGAGCTCGGCGCTGGGTGGGCAGGGAGGGACTGCGTGCCTCACATTTCTTGATCATTGCTGTTTCCAGAATTGAAGGCAGCCTGAGCCCCATGTGTGCCGCAGGGCCCCAACCCAGCCAGCAGGGCAAACCGGCCCCCTTCTGCTCTTAGGCAGCATTGGCAATATGGAAGATTTTTTTTTTTAATTCAACTTCATCTCGCCCCCTGCCCCTCTCTCTTGTCATGTTACTACTTCATCAAGTTATTTATTATCCAAAAACATTTTAACATGTCTCAGAGCAGTACCTTGATAATTTCCTATAGACGCCCACTTAGAAATCACTTCCTGTCAAACACATATAATAAAACCGTTTATCACACAGGCACCCAACTCACATATACTGACTATAATTACAGTAATTATTAGGCAAAGAGTACAATATCGGCATAAGTGCCAGTGAAAGAAATAATTACAGAGTGCAGGAGTCATCCGAGAGCTAGTGAGAAAAACTAATTAGAGAGAATGTTAAAACACATCATTACAGGTGGGTGCCAGGCTTAATGCTCTGCACGAACACACATACCACTTCGTCAGGAAAGCACCTTCCCATCAAAGGAGTGGCAACTTGCTTACCCAGTCGCAGTCAGGATCCAAACCCCAGGGAGTGAGGCTGACCCTCCTAGGTCTTGGACGTGCTCGTGCCCCAAATCTCCCTGCTTTGAAAAGGCTAGTCCAGCAGGCGGGTTAACAGTTAAATAGGAGCATCCCTATCACCTCCCCTGTTTATATCAATTAAGCCTAGGGCTTGCAGTGATCCCCCATGATTTGTAATACAAAGCCAGGTGTTTTCTGAGGACATAAGAATCTGGCCCACAGACTCCGGACATGAATGTGCTATTAATCTGCACCCCCACGCCAAGTAGTAGAAATTTAAGAGAGTGGTATGTGGGAACCCCTCTGCAGAAGGGATTCTTTGATGCTGTCCAGGCTTTCATGGGTTAAAAACAGAACACTATGCAGGGGGTTGCTTTCTGCAAAGGCCTAAGTCAGATATAATGGTTGGCCGAATTGAATATCCCTGGGAAGGAAGCACCACCATCTTAGTGGGGTGCAGGAAGAGCACCCCCTCCAGAAGGTTCGACCTCTTTAATAACTGTTAAAGGCAGTTCGTGAGGCTGTGTTAAAGGGATGCCACAGGAAGCCGGGTGGAGCAAGACTCTGCATGTGCACACTCGGGAGGTCAACGAGGAGGGCTGTTTTCACGCACTGACCATTTCCCACCCCACCCCTACCATGCAGGGTGCAGGCTCCACCCATGGCAGAGCCCACAAGGCATCTGCGTGAGGCAGTTTGGTATGAATCTGATCCCACTGGTTGTAAACTGCGAAACCATCAGTGTTCCTTGTTCAAGCTCTTCCACCAGTAACTCACCAGAGGAGGACTTCCGTTGAGAAAGGCAGGAATAAGAACATATCTGTAAAGATAGAGGTCATCTGCTCAGGAGAAAAAAAGGCATGGGGTACCAATTAAGCCGTCCCTGCATGTAGCTTCATCACCAGTGGCCCCTGACAGGGAAGCATCAGAAAACCTCCCTGAGCCCTTAAACCATATCAAAAAATTCACTAAACAAATGACTCCGGAGACAGGAAAGAGCTTTATCTCACTCAGCCTGGGAGGGCCCTGCCTGTTCAGGTCCCTGCTATCTCCCTGTGAATTAAATCCAGCCGACTGGAGCCAGGCCTCTTCTCCCCAGAAGCCCTGGCTATGGGCGCCTTATCATTCCAGCTAACCCAGAAATTTGCTAGCAGTGCACTTTGACAAAATTCATCTCCTCTGTCAACTTACCCTTCCAATCGAAGGTATTTATTTTCTTCCTCTAAGGAGACACCAGGGAATTTTTCAAAGGGTGGGAGACTATATTTTATTTTTTATTAATGTTTTTTTATGGTATACAGCTGGAATGCTTGGTTTCCTTCAGCTACTGCTGTGAGGATTCCTCTGCGAACCTTTCTTGTTTTCAAGAGGAGGGTCAGGGCCCTAGGACTAGAAGGGTCTGTGGTCCCTGCTGCTTGTTGCCTGAACTAGACTGGGACTTTATTGAGCTCATGATAACAGACCAGAGAAAAGGTTCTATTTTGGCCATTACTCGACTCATGTGAGTTGCAAGTTTTGTTTTTTTTCCCCATCCTTACCTAAAGGGTTTATGTTGGGGTTTAAGCTCTAGGATTTACCTTCCATGCATCAATCTTCTGGTGCCTTAATCTGAAGAAGTTTCTATTAATCACAATTTGTAATTCAAGGATATTAGCTAAATATTTGACCTCTTGAGTCAATTATCTCTTTCATTTAAACATCTTTGTATTCATGGTTTGTCCACCTATTTCACACTTACCTGCCCATAGCCTTTTAGCATGAGATACCCTTTCCTGAAGATCAATCTTGTCTTCCAGTGCGAAGGGCTCACGTCAGACATTTTTCAGGTGCCCCAATGCCTAGAACAATAGTTGCTCCTAAAAGCCTCTCAAGAAACCCTTTCTCATTTATTATTAAAAATGAAAGAGGCATATCTCCCTGGAAACAAGAAACTTTCCCCTTCTTTTTCTTTTTTTTTTTTTTTAATTTGGGACTAGTTACTAAGTATAAAGATAATTAAGGTAAGCCATGACTAGCCGCCCATCTCCTTAGGAGGTTTTAATTAAAACACCATAATTGGACATTGCAAGAATGAGATTATTAGGTTTATTTAGCCATTCCTAAAATTATCATGCCTCTGGTATTTAAATCACGTTCATTTATATTCTCATCATAATTGCTCAAACCCCATTGTCATTGCAGTCTGTTGTTGGCTTTTGAAAGGCCAGAGGCCAACAGGGATGCTTAATTTGAATGCTGGAATTAATTTATTTCCACATGCTCACAAGACCATTGGATTTTTCAATTCTGTGCACTCCGCTGGGTGGAAGTCCCTTTAAAGACAGAAAGAAAGAAACACAGCTCTAACAAGAGTGTCCCCCCATCTCCAGCGTAGCTTACACAGTCTGTGTCTTGGCCCCTGAGCTTCCTCAGATTCCCAGGCCCTGGTGGTTTTCAATGTCGCGGCAATAAAGAGAGGCATTTGGGGTGTCTTTTTGGTAGAGGAGATGGTACAAAGAGCGCTGGACCAAATTTTAGAACTTTGTTGTTCACTAGCTCCGTGATCTTGAACCCTTTGCTTGACCTCCCTATTCTTCGCTTTCCTCATCAATATAATGGAAATAATAATAATAATAGAACCTACGTCATGGGGTTTTGTGAGAACCAAGTAAGATCATGTGTGCAAAGCACTTGATGCAGTATTGGACACGTAGGAAATATTCCATAAGCGTTAGCTGCTATTATGAGAATGATGTCATTCTCAGTTTGGCCACCACTGTGTCCCTGGGCAAGTACTCTCCCTCCAAGGGATGGTTTTCTCACCATCTCCGTGACCCTTTTTAGGTCTGAAGTTTGATGACCTTTGCCCCATTCATTTGGGCACACAAGTTAGGACTGTCCACTTTTGGCGTGATGCCGAATAGAAGAACAAAGTTGAGGAGGCAGCCAGGCAGGAGCCAGTCTCCCCAGTCATCCCTCCTCCTCCTCTCTCAGACTGGACGGGGTGTGGTGCAGTCAGCAGAGAAAGGATGATGTGATTGCTGTCCCTGCCAGCCGTCACAGGCGCTTCCCCATGACAGGGCTAGCTGGGGATGCACTCCTGCCCTCGTGCTCATTGCGGGCCCCCGCCCCCGCTGGGAATCAGCACCCTGATACTCAGGGAGGAGCAGGGAAGGGCCAGCACCTTGGTTGCCCCACGTTCTGCCCTGCCCTGGAGCGCTGGACCAAAGACATCAGGCCACAGTCTGGGGAGTCAGGAGAACCAGAAGGTGGGACATCTCTGTTTGCTCCTTGTGTGGCACAGAGGTGGCTCTGGTTCCAAATTGAAATTCTTGAGCTGAAGTAGTGATTCAGAAAGGGGAGACAGGCCCGAGGGCAGACAGGTACTTGGCCCACATCCCCGTCTCCCTGTTCTGGATGAGAACTTCCTTCCACCTCAGGGCAGCAACATTTTCGTCCCGCTGAAAGAGTTCCCAGGGCGGATAGCTTGGGCACCCATTTAAAAACAAAGAGCAAGTCCACATGCCCTCCAAGTTCATCACGACACATCTCTGAACAGGGATTACAGGGGTTCCGTGTGCTAGTGAATCACTACACTCTGATTGAAGCTGTGTTCTTTGCCAAGAGGAGGAGGAGGCGGTAGCGGCAGGCAGGCTTGCTCGGGGACAGGGGACACTCATGGGCCCCATGGGCACGTGTTCCTGCAACAGGAGCACGCGCGTGCCCGTAGGCAGACACAGGGCCCAGATCGTCCCCTCCCTTCAAAGATGGGTGGAGGCTCTTTCCACCCCGATCAAAACACTGTTCCCGTTCCTCTCTGCCTCTCAAGCTGGTACAGTACTCCTAGAATTTCCTGGGTAGAAAAATGTGGGTGTTTCCTCCCTCTGTCCCCCTTGGAAATCCACTGTCACCTGCACCACCCCCATCACTCTCAATATATGTGGACAGGAAAGGCTGGGAGGGAGGGATTTGCTGACAGAGCTAAGCAGAGTGCCTAGGACACCCTTACCTGTGCAGGTGAGCGAGGCTCAGAGAGAGCCCCAGGGGACCGGGCGGATGGCCTTTGCTGGCACTGAGCTGTTGGCAGAAAGACCTGAGCTTCAGGCATGAAAGTCCCATCCACCCAGTAGCCACACCGTCCCTCCACACTATGGCTGATCCTATCAACCAGAGCCCAGGGCCCTCAGAACTCAGGGGGCCTCCCCTCAGGGCCCTTCTAGAAGGATTGCCCCTGCCCCCCATAGCTTGGTCACAGTCAGCCCCCACTCTGCCAGGCTTCTAGACCAATTTCATTCATGTATTCATCCTTTCACTCACCCTAGATATATTTACTGAGTTCATGTTTTGTGTTTCAGCCCTATTTTGGGCACTGGGGATGTAACAGGACATAAGACAGAACAGGTCACTGCCCTTGTAGAATATACATGCTAGTCGCAGTCTGTCCAAAGACAAAAAGCCAAGGGGAGGGACTTCTGCCATCACAGCACTCACAGGCTCAAAGGGAAGTGGGCTCAGTTCATCGGGCATTGATCGGAGGGGAACATTTCCAGGGAAAATGAACCCATCTTTCAACCCCATCTTAAACCTGAAGTGTTTTATTTCAACAAGAAGATAACACCCTCACCATGTGTGAATGCCTGGCTGGGGAGCCGCCAGCCCAGGATGCTGACAGAGGCTATAATTACCTTTGTTTCTCTCTGCGTAATTAAAGGTGTTGTTAGTGACCTGGTTGTGGAATCTTTCTCAAAGGCTTTTTTTTATCTTGACAACATCCCTTGAATGTAGCACATGCCCCCTACAGACCGAGAGCCACCCTCTGAAAGACCCAGCTCATCCCCAGAGGGGTTCAAGACTACAACCTGGGTCTGGTTGAAACTGATTTAATTTCAGCATAGATGTCAAAAGGGGCTTTTTGGGAAAAACTCCATTGCAGAACTTCTTATTGCCCACATGAGCCCTTGACTATAATGTCTTTCTCCCCCACTTCCCTTTCTGGCACACCCCAACTGAGTAATATTTTGACAGGTCAAAAGAAGGACGACTGTTGGATACCCTCTGCCTCAGTGGATGGAAATACAGGAGCAAGGCTTCAGCCTTCCGTGTAGCCCCTGACATTGCCCAAACAGGAAGGTGCCCAGGGTGTGCAATTCGCCCTGCCTTTGTTAGGTACCTTTTGCCCCCAGATGTGGAGGGCCAGGCCTGGCATTTTTCTCTGGGGAGCATGATCTGCACTTCAAAAGCCCTGACATCTGAAGCCCTGCCACTCCCAGCCTCTCTTGCATGTGGCGGGGGGGGGGGGGGGGGTGTGTGTGTGTGGCAGGGCTCTTCCCACAGTAGATCCTCTTGACCACCTGCAACAAGGTGGAGCAGAGGACAGACAGGTGCTGTTGGGTGCCCTACTCCTTCTGCTTCCGTTCCTCTGAAGACCAGGAGTTATGAACCTTTCCATCCAGAAAGGACTTCAGGAGTCATGCAGTCCAAACTCCTTACTCACTGAGATGGTAGCAGAATAGCTCAGAGGGGCATTGGTGGCAGAGCCGGACTCGTTGATAGTAGTGATAACAACAACTAACATTACTAAGCTCTGACTTTGCGCCATGCATTCTTCTAAATACTTTACATGCGTTCACTTCCTTTGCCTTCACAACAAAACCATGCTATGAAATAAGTATTGTCATCATCCCCCATTTCACAGATGGGGGAAACTGAGGATGAAATAACAGAACCAGGATTCAAATTGAGCCAGTGGGACTCCACAGCCGTGGCACTCTCATTCCTGATCTGCGGCTTCCATAGGCTGAGTCTCTGGGATTTCCATTTCCTCAGAAATAGAAAACTTTCCCAGTTTGGAACAAAGTGCGTATCCCTTCTCTCAGAGAATGTTCCAGTTGGGGACTTTGGTGTAAGTCATCATTTCTCTGGCATTTTTCATGGTCTCCATGAGATCTGCTGGTGCAACACTGGAGAGTTTGAAGTCCTTGTGCCCTAGACAAGAATATTTTCTCAAATGTCCCAGCTAGGAGGATATTTTTAAATATTTGATGTGTGTATGAGGGAGAGAGAGAGGAGGTGAGGCCAAGGGAAATAAGAATCTTTGATCACTGGGTTAGCACTTTCCAGCAAGGTAAATGTTCCAGATCAAGCCACTGGCATCCCTTTGAGCCCTTGCGGAAGGACCTGCCCCAGGCACAGGGACTGTCGAGTGTGGAGAGGGAAACTTCCGCTTTGAGTCTCAGTGTCCAAACAGGCATTTGCTGCAGGCCCCCTTGGTCCTCTGATGCAACCACTGTAGCTGGACCCTCTCTGGCTTCCCAGACTCAGCTTCTCCAGTGAACAGAGGCCAAACCAAAATTAGTTGTTCCCTGCAGACGTTTTTGTGTTTCATGTTTAATCTCTACCCAAGGGCTCCCAGCCAGAATTCCCATGTCCGAGCAGCAAGGAGATCTGCAGAGTTGGTCTGAGCGTGGTCCTAGCCCGTGGCCCTCTGCTCTGGGGGTGGGGTCTGGAAAGACATTGACATAATCCCTGTGAACTAGATCTAGCAGGCATGTGATAAGGTCCTGAGGAGGTTTTGGGGTTGGTCTACCTTTTGGGCCACAGTGTCCATATTTGGAAAACTCACCACAGGTTTGAGATTCTTATCTCACTTTGAAGAAGTAGTGATAGTATGAAAACTTTTATGTCTTGAAAACATTTGAATTTACTTCTTTTTTTTTTTAAGATTTTATTTATTTATTTGACAGAAAGACACAGCGAGAGAGGGAACACAAGCAGGGGGAGCAGGAGAGGGAGAAGCAGATTTCCCTCAGAGCAGGGAGTCCAATGCGGGGCTCCATCCCAGGACCTGGGACCGTGACCTGAGCCAAAGGCAGATGCTTAACAACTGAGCCACCCAGGCGCCCCTTGAATTTACTTCTTGTGACCCTTTGAATTCTGAGTTAGTTTGCTAATATATGTATTTCTCTATGTTTGACTTTCTAAATAAGCTCCTTAGATGCCATTTACCTGGGTTTTTTACCACTTTGCTTTACATTCATACCGGTTCTCACCTCAAAATTAAAAGCTGACTCCAAGCTTATTTGCCTTTTCTTCTAATGAGGTAGATTTTATTTGCATGTTCTCTGGACATACAAGCTATTTGAAAATGCCTTGGATGATGTCACTGCTAATGACACTTGGACAACATCAATGCCCCAAATAATGAAATTCTGACGCCTTTTTTCCTCCCACTTGGTTTTAGGAGTGAGTTCTAGCCTCTAGAGTAAAGAATGAAAATGTGTCTATACTCAGCATCCAATCCCCGGATAAAAGCCAAAAAACATGGGTGTTCATTCAAACATTGGGCTGAGAACGTAGTCCCCATGTACGCAGTGTGCATTCCAGTGGCGTATTTTCATGTGGGATTGACTCTGCGAGCAGCCCTTTCTCTGAAAGATGAGGATGATGGGATGACAGAGCAGGTGGAACAATCCAGAAACAGGTCAAGGTCAGAATCTCTCCTCTTGGCTCAATATTTGGCCAGTGGCAGCTGTGTCTCCCAGATGAGGGGACATGTCAGCTGGTGAAAATGTCAGGTAGCTTTCCAGGAGGTGATGCTGGGAAGTGGCAAAGAGGCACAGAAGGCCAGGCGGCTCCTGACCCTGCTGTGACTGACCGCTGTGTTCCTGCCCCACAGGCCCCCACTCCGAACCTCCATCCTGCAATGCCAACTCCCTCTCCTGCCCCTCGGCCTGCACTTGCAGCAATAACATCGTGGACTGTCGAGGGAAGGGCTTGACTGAGATCCCCGCCAACCTTCCAGAGGGCATCGTCGAAATGTAAGTGCCCCATCTGCCACCCTCTGTCCCTGGCTAGTTCACCTCTGTGTCTTAGCCCATCCCCCGGTGTGTTAGAGCTAACTATGAAAAACACTCAGGAATCTCTTTGCCATCCTTCCAGGCTCTCCCAGGCGTGGTAGATTCCAGAGCACAGTCAGCAAACTAGGCCCAGTGGTCCAAATCTGCCTACCACTTATTTCCGTAAATAAAGTTTTATTGGAACACACCCACACCTATGTGTAGGTATGGTCTATGGCTGTCCTCGTAAGGCGGGCTTGAGGTGTTGTGACTTACGGCCCACCAGGCCTGATACATGTGCTCTTTGGCCCTTTACAGTGTTTGCCAGGCCCTTCCCTGGAGTCGCCCTGGGATGATGTTCTAGCTCTACCATCTACTAGCTGTGCGACTTTGGGCAGAATAATTGCTCTCTTTCATCTCTAGTTCTCTCATCTATAACAGTGTGATAATTATAGTATTGTCCATGGGTGATTGTGAAGACAGAAGGCAATACTGCACATCAGCCCGTAATACAGTCCTTGGCACGGGGGTAAGTGCCCTGTGCAGCGGTGGTAGTGTTGGCGGAAAATACATGAGGGGCGAACTCATTTCATATCTGCCATTATGTGAGCAAGAGACTGAACTGTTCATCATTTCAGATCAGATTCTTGTCCCCTAAACTTGGTCTGTAGGTCCACAGACAAGATTGTGTGTGTCCATGTGTGTGCACGGATGTTCAAAGTTCCACTAAAAGTGGGTTGACCGTATAGGTCAAACTTGTCTACTCTTCCCCCCGTGCATTAGACAATGGCCAGTTTCTCATTCTGGATTGAGTAGAGGGTCAGTCAACACCGACCTCAAGATCACTCTTTAAATGACCACAAGTGTTTTCATGTTCTACCTTCACTTTTAGGTGGCTTTATTAAAAACACGGTGAGATAGAACCCTCCTACTCCAAATATCATCAGATAAAATCCTCCAAATAAGACACACGTTCCCCTAGCCTCTCTGTTGCTCTTCTCCCCCCCTTCCTCCTCCTATGCATGCCCTTCTATTCCGATAGACGGCCCATTAACTCTCTCAGCCATTCACACATTCATTCAGCAAACGTCTGTTGTTAGCCCACTATGTTCCAATCGTAGTTCTGTGCTTGAGGAGCATCAGTGAATAAGAGACATAAAATTTCTGCCTTTATGATGCTTGCATTCGGGGGAGGGGGGAGGTAATAAACAATAAACAAAGCAAAACAAATTATATGACATGATAGAAGGCGATGGCTTCTGTGGAGAAAAATAAAACAAGGAAAAGATTCAAAGTAACTAGGGGGGACAAAACATGTGGCTATGTGGAGGAAGAGTGTTGCAGGTGGAGGGCACAGCACGTGCAAAGGCCCAGAGGTAGGAGTGTGCCTGCTATACCAGAAGGCCAGTGTTGCTGGAGTGAAGTAAACATAAGGGAGAGCGTTCGAGGATGAGATCAGAGAGGCAATGAGGAGCCAGATCAAAGGGACATTTTAAAGACTTTTCTTTCATCCTGATTAAGATGAGAAGAAACATGATTTACCACAGTGGAGAGTCAGTTTCTTCTTTCTTCATTGGTTTTACCCGCTTTTCCCCAATTCCCTTCAAAATTTTCTTCCCCCAGCCCTAGTAGACACAACTCACGCCTGCAGGCAGGAACCAGTCAGTAAAGCGTCCTTTTGGCCTGACACCCACACTTTCCATGGCCTTTGTTCAACCTTCAGTCTTTCTTTTGGCAAGAACCAACAATTAATTCACTTCACATTTTGCTGTTTCCCTTCGCTCCTCATGGTGTATTGCTCTCGCTTTGGAGATCCCTTCCATGGAAGGAGCTCACTTAGACCCCATGCGGCTCCTGCTCATCCCCTTCTCTTCTCTGAATTCCTTTTGTTCCTGGCCTTACTCTCTTCCCCATTCCGTACTCTTTCCCCTTGTCTTTATCTTCCTCTCCTGATTCATCTCCCCCCTTCTCTCCCTCTCCCCACCAATGATCTTCCCACCTCACTTCCCAGCCCCATCTCTCTCTTCACCCAGTTAATGCTTTGCTCCTTGTCGTAAAAGCTGCCCACCTTCCCTCTCCACCCATGCCAGGGTAGGGCTCTGGCCCTCCCAAGTCAGACGTTCAAGACAGAATTCTTTCCCATGTTCATCTCATTTCAGATTCCCAAAGATCTTTGCTTTCTTTCTCTGCCCCACTTCGTTCCTTTCTCCCTCCATCTGCCAGGTTTATCTTCCCTCTTTGGCAGCCATAGATCTTTCCTCAAACCACAGCCTGATGAAAGAGGCCAGTCTAATAGTCAGGCTGTAACTTGACCCCTGCCAACCCCTGATTCACCCTCCTCTGTCCCACATCTTTATACCTCCAACTTGGGCCTCACAGGCACATAGCTCAGGTGTCTGGGAGAGAGAAATTGCAGATGTCCACATCAGAGGTGAGACCCATGCAGACCAAGCCATACCTGGACTGTTGGGCTCATACCTGGACATCAAGTTTTTAAAGGGATATTAACAGGGCGCCTGGGTGGCTCAGATGGTTAAGCGTCTGCCTTCGGCTCAGGTCATGATCCCAGGGTCCTGGGATCAAGCCCCACATCGGGCTCCTGGCTCAGCAAGGAGCCTGCTTCTCTCTCTCCCTACTCATGCTTTCTCTCTCTCTCTATCTCTGTGTCTCAAATGAATAAATAAAATCTTTAAAAATAATAATAAAATAAAGGGATGTTAACAAACTAGAGTAGCGATTTCTGAAAGGCTGTTGGATTACTGATATCTTTTTCCTGCTGTGAGGTAAAGTGAGAAAAACAAGAACGATGTGATGTTTTTCTGTTGAGCAAAACTATTCAATTTAAAAGACTATCCTTTATTTTAAATTCCTGGGCTCCCTTATTCTGTTACTGTTGTTTTTTAAAATGCCCTCTATCTTGTGAAATGATGGTTGCTGAAGGCAGAATATATATGCTTGTGTGTGCATGCACATGTATGTGATAAATGTGTTTAATCACATATGTAATTATGTAATTATAAATGTATGTCTCTATATAAACATGTATTATATAACACACACACATAGGGCACCTTAATTGGCAAAATAAAAGGTCTGGAACCACCTAGCCTGTGAAATCTAAAAGTCTGGGAATGACCAACCTAGCTGGAGTGCTTCTAAAAACAAACAGCCACAAACAGCAACCAGATTCTTAAGAGTGTAGACCTTGAATTCAGGGAGCTAGATCCACATACTAGCTCTGGCCCTGCCTTTTAGCTCTTGGTTAAATAACTTTTCTGGGTCCTGTTTTCCTCAACCGAAACACGCGGAGGCCAGTGGTACCTTCTTAACAGGTCTCGTGAAAGCGAAATGAACGTGTGCAGTCAAATGCTCAGCGTTGTGTCTGACACAGAGGACAGACTGTCAGCCAGGACTGTTGGTATTTTACTGCTACTACTACTACTACCACTTCCACTTTTATTAGGCTCAGTGAGAAGCGTTGGACCGTATCATAGGAGCTGGAGCCACCCGCATACACAAACCTTCCCCAACGCTAGGCTAGGTTCTTGAGGGTTATGGATGAGAGAAGAGGTTCAAGAACCAGGCTAGCCGCTTGCATTAGGAATGGAGCCTGGCAGTAGCTCATCTTCATGCAAATGTATGCAGACGTGGAAATACGGCTGCCCCTGCTTGCCGAGCACCCACGGCCCACCAGACAGATTGCCCAGGATTTCTCCTTCTGTGATGAAATGAAACTGAGACATTAAAGAGATGAGACAAGATTCTATGGTTAGGAGGGGATGGGGAGAGGTCACATGTAAGAGAGACCTTTGAGGAAGAAACCTGCTCATTCTTCAAGGTAACAAAGCCCTTGCCTGGGGACCCGTGTGTTGGCCCTGAAGTCTTGAAAACAGCTGAAACGCATCCTCATAGCAGGGAGAGAAGACCAGCAGATGGGGGAGGTTGAAAGATGAGATAGAGAGTAGAGAGTTGAAACTGCAGTACCTAGCCCAGGATGAATAGGAGGTGTCTGATTTATCATCCCAGAGACATCTGAATGTGACTTTTTACTGTCAGGAATTCTGCCTTTTGTCCATGGCACCCATACAGTGCAGATTTCCCCCCTCTCTTTAGGGATGCTTGGCACCCTATGAGGCTCTCCAGGCCCTGTGCACAATCCTCAGCCGGTAGTGATTCTCTAACACCTCGGGAGGGGTTCTGCACTCCCCAACTTTTGGGGGGAGGAAGGGCTATCTCTCATGCAAAGCAATCTGGCAAACTCTTTTAGAATTTTTTTTCAAAGCCGAAGCAGCTCAGAGGACTGTGTGCTGGTCTCCCCGCATAGCAGAGCCAATTCCTCTAAAAATAGCTTTCTTCCAGAGAACCCACAGTGAGACAGCTCCCTGCAGATTTTCCTCGAAACTGAGCTCCCACCAACAGCACCGTTCTTGCTGCTCTCTGTCGTTTCTCTGAACCAGCTCCAGCCTCTACCAGGGATAGATTCTGGGAAGAGCCAGAGGCTCACACCTTCCTCTCTTCTGTGGTCTTCTGTCTTCCCTCCAGAGTCCTCAAGGCTCAAGAGGACCATCTGTAGCTAGAGCTTCATCTTAATCTCTGTCCCATCTTCTTCCAGTTTGCTCTGTCCCCCGCACCCATACATACACACACACAGCGCCATCCAATGTGTCTCATGCCCTCTGCTCTAGCAGCTCAATTTAGTTGATGGAGAAAGGCCGCGGATGGGCTTCCTGTCGAGTCATAAGTGAAAGCATCTGGGGGAAAGGTAGCCATCATTTCACCTCAATCCCATTGTCTGGGGTGAGGAGATAAATAGTGGCTTATCTGCTTAACAAAAACACATATTCTCCCATTATACTGGTCACCAGGGGATTTTAAAAAGAGAGGATGGGAAAGGAAAAGGAAAAAAAAGCAGACAACAGAACAAAAGGACTGGAGGGTTCTGGAAGCCATCACCATCCAGGATTCTTCAATGTTCTGAGAGCACCAGGTTTCTGAGGGACTGTCACATGGAAGGTGGGGAGATGGGGTGGGATGGGGCGGTGGAATAAAAGGGAAGTGGATGCAGCGCAGAATAATTAAGAACGGAGCCTTGAGATAAGTAGTCCAGGGTTGAATTCCCAGTTTTGCCTCTTACCTAGGGCACCTTTCTTAACCTCTCCTGCTTCAGTCTGCTCCCCCCTTTGCAAAATGGGGCTCATCAGCCCAACTAGAGATTTTCTATGAAGATTAAGTAGCACAATTGTGCAGAAAATTAGCACAATGTTTGGAAGACACTGAATGGAACCTAAAAAGAAAAACCTATGCACGGGGTCACATGTGCAACATGATAGAATGGTTTAGTCTCAAGTTCCCATACTATTTTTCTTTCATTTTTTTCCTAAGATGATAAAAAAAAAAAAAAATTCTCTGGGAGAGGCATCTGGGCACATGCATATAATCAAGAAGAGCGAATCTGGCTCCGTGCCAGCGCTTCTGTTTTCTGCCGGCAAATGCCAGGTATTGTGCAGAGCAGGTCACAAATGACTCATGTCACCTATGCCCGTAGCCCTCATCTTTGTTGTTATTATACTAATAATAATACTTGCTTTGTAGGATTGTTGAAGGACTAAAAGCCAGTGTGCAAAGAGCCCAGTGTCTAACATATAAAGGGCCCTCAGTAAATGGTAGATGTTTGTCCTTCTTGCCACCTCGGCCATTTCTGCCACCAATACTCGAACCCAGCTCCAGAACCGCTCTATCAGGTGACTCGTAGCCTCGCCGTTGCGCTGCCGTGACCCTGCCAGTCTCTCTGGCATCATGTTGACTTATGCACTGCTAGAAATATATTGTGTTCAGTCGCATGTTTGCAAATGACAGATCATTAAGGAAGCACCGAGAAACTAGGGCAAATCAATACAGAGCGCAAATGGCTGAAATCCCCCTCAGATGTTCCCATTGTGTTTACTGGTGCCGGAAGATGTTCAGATGTTTGATTTGTATGTTTGTTTTTATGCTAGTTCTATTAAATCAGTTTGCAGCCTGAAGAACGTTTGCCAGACAAAGAAAGACCCATGTGCCATTTAAGAGAGACCTAAAACAGCTGTTGGCTTCAGACACCTCTCTAAATGTGACAGTTTTTGCTGATGCTACTGCTTCTGCTCATCCTTCACACCTTTTGTCACTGGGAATATGGATCCTTGCATACTTGTTCCAGGCTGTATAAAACCCACCAGGGGCTATCTGCTGCATAGAAACTTTGTGTGTGCATACTCACCGTGGGCTTACTCCCTTGACAAAGGGGCCGTTTCCCTGAGGATGAGCTGGCAATGACTAAAAATGGAGATGCCTCCGCTCCAAATGGGATTTGGCAAAGCTCGGTGATGGAGAGTTGAGGTTTTTGAATGGGACGAACTTGAGTTTCATCCCAGCTGTAGCTCTTCCTGGCTATGTGAATCTGGACAAGTGACTTAACATCTCTGAGCCTCCATTTTCTCACGTTTAAAGCGGAGATGGTAATAATGAATAGGACTTGCCTCAGAGAGGTGTAAATGTTAAGATAAACCAGGTGAAACTCTTAGCCTAATGCCCGACTTACAAGCACCTGATAGCTATTAGCTCTTACTATTGTCATTATCCCTACCCTCACCTTTACTTTGCATTTGAAGAACACCGACTATTCACAACTACACCCCCCAGACAAACTCTGATGCCCCTTGGGGCAAGGTTAACCCACATCGCGGCACTTGCCATGGCCTTGGCACTCCGTAAGGGGTTCGGTGCCCAGCCAGGACCCACAGCAGCATAAGCAGCAGAGAGGCTGCAGAGACAAATACCATCCCTGGAGTGTGTGCGTCTGACGAGTACGGGACGCACAGAGCCGTCCCTGCAGAGATTGGAGTTCTTTGTTCAAAACCACACCTTTGCACTCTATTTGCATATCTATATATATTCGCATCTGTACAGCGTCTCCCTCAACTCCTTCAGCCTTTTTACAAAATACCGACTTCTGCAGAGGCTGCCTGGGGTCTTAACCTCCCGAACCTTTCTGTGACTTTGGGGAAGTCACTTTAATCTCTAGGCCTCAGTTTCTCTGTTTTCAGAAAGAGAGGCAGGCAGTATGTCCGATGGGTACAAACAGATGTTAGTTCTGCCAATTACTTGCTCTGTCACTCTGGACAGGCTATTTGGTCCCTCTAGGTTTTATTTTCAGCATCCACAAAATGAGGCCAACACAGCTTGCTTCATAAATGTAAGGATTAAAAGAGATAACAGACATAAATCAACTTGGCCTCATAAATGATAGCTCTTCCTGTTTGTTATGTGAGCCATAGAATTTGGTTCTGTGATGGACCGTCTTGGGCTGTTGCTGTCCCCAGATTATTAAACTCCTTGGGGACAGGTACCACGTACTGCTCGCTGGTTCATCCCTCCCTCGGCTCTTACGCCCGTCACTACAGTGGAGGTTAATTGAGTACGAATCGCACACATAGCCGGCTGACCTCCCACGCAGTGCTGACCTGACTCGCATGGGCTCTTGGCCTGCAGCTGGGAGCAGTGGATCCTCTTGCAAAAACTGAGGGCGTTGCCATCATTACAGACAGTGGCTCTCCCCAGAGGCATCATCCAGCCACAATCCCTTGCCAAAGTGGCAGGTGAATCACAGGATTCCTGGAGAGCATTTTCCACCTGACTGGCAGCCCCAGAGACCCATAGAGCCACTGCCTTGGCTGAGAAATCCCTACTGAACTCTGCTCACCTGGAAAACAAGAATGTCCTTGGAACATCTCAGTCAAGGTAGCCTGCCCCGAGTCCGCTGCCTCCGTGGGTGGCTGGATCTGGTAGCTCACAGAGTCTAAGACCTGGTGGCTTGCTCTTGTGCCTTCCCATGAACCAGCCCAGCTCCGTCCAGCCAGCCTGTGCCCGTGTGCCCACAGAGCATGCTCCCCACCCCCTCCAGCAGGCCACAAAGGCTTTCTTAATAGAGCGTGGCAGTCTCCTTTGTAGACTCTCTTCATCCAGCAGCCAAGAATGATCTGTCCTGATGCTCCCTTTCTCCTCCCACCCGCCCTTCCTCTTTTTCTCCACCCACCCGCCCACCCTTCCTTTGGCCTGGAGAGTGATTTGTCTGTGTTATGGGTAGGCCTGACAAACCATTGCACATTAGCAGCTGAGATGTTGTTTGAAATGGGAAAATTGCTGGCAAACTGCTCCATTAGCGGTTCCAGTAACAAATACTCTCTTCCCCCAATGAAGATGAGATTGCAGAGGCACAAATTAATATGACTGTCTCCCTGACTCTGCAGCGGGGATTACTCTTCAAGATGAATGGGCTCATCCCCACCAGAAATGCATCCACTAGATGTAGCCTCCAAGGGAGCCGCTTCCACCCGTCTGTCCCTTCTGCTCCCCCCATCCCTCCCTGTACACACCTTTTTGCGTGTCTTCCCAGCTGGGGGTATGGGGAACATCCATGTCAAATGAGGAGGTGATGAAAAGATCCACACCCTGGAGAAAAGGGAGATGGGCAAGAAGGAGAGGCTGAGTCCTTGGACAAGGCCAGGGCATTCACTCATCACCTCTAACAGAGGGTCCTGCCTCCCATTCAGGCCTGTGGCCCTCCACACCTGTTCTTGACAGGAAGTCATCTGAGAGGCAAGAGAATAAAGCATTGAGATGCTTGCTCACTCCCCATGGCCCCTTCTCTTCAAGGAAGTTCTGGGCCCTGGGCCTGTAGCATTTCTTGTCATTCTGCAGTCCCAGGAGAGGAAGCACTTCAGGGAAGTCCATAAGGTGGTAAAGCCAGGGGTTCTAGCAGCAGCCCCCGGGGGGTGGTCCGACTGGGGCCCCTAGGGGGCCCCTAGGGGGTGTCAGGCTGGGAACCTAAAGATTTGAAGGCTGTTTCTCCAGCACTTTAGAAGCCCATTGAAAAACCCAGAAACAAATATCAAATGTTGTTGTTTATTGTATGTTGTACTCCTGAAACTAAGTCAGTTATAATAAAAAAAAAACAGAAATGAAGTCAGCCATTGTCATTCCTGCCTGTTCGGTACCCCTGTGGCAGGGAGGGGTTGAGTGTTTACTGAAAGGTGACATGCTTCTCTGGCAGGCAGGTATCACTGGCCCACAGGCCATCTCTTCTTCTCTTTATCCCTTTGACTTTTTCAGCACTCTGGTGCTACAGATTTTTTGAAGGAGACCTCTGCCTTCAAAGATGGCTTATGATAAGCAAGAGCCAGAATCCTCAAGGAGGTGTCATCTTCTTTCATTTTTCCGACGGCCATTAGATCCTGGGATGGGTGCTCCTTCCACTAGAACATGGGTCTCTAGCTTTCACACAGTGTTTGCCTGGTGTCCTATAACCAATAGTGGGTGCCATGTGATAAGAGGGACCATCCTGTCTTCAAGGCCCTCAGCCACCACCTCTTGACAGGTGGATGGTTAACTGACTCTTCTCTGCTCTGTTTCCCAGACGCCTGGAACAGAACTCCATCAAATCCATCCCTGCTGGAGCCTTCACCCAGTACAAGAAACTGAAGCGAATGTGAGTTTCCCCAGGGAAGGGATGAGGCTGATGTTTTTATGCGGGGGGTAATGGGTGTCCTGTGTCGTGGGCAACCTGCCCAGATGACTGCCTGCCTCGCATCCTTCCTGGAGAGTTTAGTGTTGGACCTGGAATGCTCTCTAAGATTGGGAGGTGTGGGTCAGGAGTGTTGCTTTCAGATGGTGAGGTATATGGATTTAGACACCTCAGAGCTAGGGGTCTCTCCAACTAGAGCAAAGTGAAATTATCTGAGTCAGAGGTAGAGCTGAGTTGGCTAAAAAAACCTGTACCACCATTTTGATTGTCCTCGCTTTCATGATGTGGACCTGAAATAGGAGTGTCAATAAAGCTGGGACAGTGGCCTTGTATCCGTCTACAGCACCCTAACCAACATGCCTACGGCCATGCACACACACATCTAACAAAGAGTGAGCGTCTACCACGTGCAGGAACTGCAGGGTCTCTGGATGGAGTGTGCACTAAAACAAAGTTTGCTCCTGTGGAGCTTACATACTTGAGTGGGAGAATGCAGAAAAGAAACAAGTACCAGAAATTGGTAAGTACTAGAAAGTAAAACAAAGGAAGGGCCCACAGGAGCCTCTCTGTGCAGGTGACCCAAATGAAGGGTGGGAATAAGGAGCTCTCAGGAGAGAGCAAGTGATGAGCCCTGGGGAGCGTACGTGGATGGTTTGCAGAGCAGCAAGGAGGACGGGAGGGTGAGGGAGAGAGTGGTGGGGATAGTGTTGGAGAAGTAGGTACGTAGCGCCAGATCCTGTGGACCCTTTAGACCATGGGTAAGGGCTTTCTATTCTTTCTAAGTGAGATAAGAAGCCTTGGGCCCTTCCTTACCCTCCAACCACATATGTCTTGCCTGTGATTATCCCCACCATCCCCATTACCACTGCATCCAGGATCACTGACCACTCTATCCTATCAATACCTGGGGGACACCAACACTGCTGTTCCTTCCCTACCACGGCACCACTGACAGCATCATGCATCATGGCCCTTATCCCCGCCATGGGGGCAACGTCATCACCACCCTTCCCCAACCCATGACTGCCCTGAGCCCCGCTCTGTGAGTCACTCAGACCAGGGCGCTCGCAAGGGAGGCTAGTAGAGTTCAGAAATGGCCCAGCCATTGCCAGCATAGATATTAAGAATAGGGGAAGGAGACACCTTTCCCTTTTCTGGGCTGAGAAGTCATTTATCATGGTCCAGTAATCAAAATGCTGTTTTCATCCCAGTTATTTACCCTCCCTGGCCCCCACAGAGGAAGAGAGAGCAGGTATAAACATGCACCGACTCGATCTTGCGCCCTTCTGCTGAAGGCTGATTCATCGGTTTCCCTTGGGTAGGAGGGCCTCCATTAAAGAGGTTAAGTGTCTGCTGACTCCTTTTATGTTAAAAATAAACATCCCCAAGAAACAGTGGCATTGGTAGGCTTTACCCTCGGATCTTGGGAAGGCAACTTCCCATCTTCCTGGAAATCCAAACCAAACAAGATTTTCTCCTGGTACAATTCCAGAAGTAGAAACCAACATAATGAGCCAGCCCTGAGCACGTACTTTTTTCTCTCCCCTTGGCAGCATCCTTGCTGGAGGAGCTGTATAAATATAGGCCTTAATATTTAAAACCTTGGGCCATTAATCTCCTGGTCTCCCTGCTTCCCCAGCTCACTCCATACCCCCCCAAATTCATTTTTAAAGTCTAGCTTGATTATGCAGCCAGATAGTAATTTCAGTGAAAAATGACAAGTTCAGTCCCTGCCCCAACCTATATCTCTTGCATGATTTAAGTTACTGCTCTAATTTTTTGTGAAGTCCAGGTAATTTAGAGCTTGGCTATGTTTTACTGTCCTTTCTTCATCCCATTGGAGTTGCCATGATCTGTGCAATTCAAAATTCATAAGACCTTCTCAGTCATGACCTGAGACGGGAATTTAATTTTTGATCACTTCTGATGCTACTGATATTTATTATGATGCCCTTTTTTTCCCCAAGGAGATGGCGGTAGGGAAGAGAGACCACTTAAAAATTTTTCAGATTAACAGAACTTCACAAACCAAGACTGAAGTATGATGGCTTGGGAGAAGTAGGGCCCCTGGTAAGAATGGATTTTAAAACCCTAAGTGTGAATTCCTCCTAGGTGTATGTGGCCAGTCTCTCTAACAGGAAGAAGTTTCCCCTCAACTATGTATGAACTACACCCTCCTCTTCTCTCTAATAACAACAACAGCAACAACAAAGGATTCTCCTGGAATGAATGACTTTGTCCCCATTTCTCGTGGCCGGCTTAGTATAAAAAATACTTCCAGGTAAAAACTAGTATCAAGGTAGAGAAGCCATTTATGAGGAGTGCAATAGGCACTAGAGAGAAGCCCCTGGTCTTACAGGGCTGGTTAACTGACGGCGCAGGCAAATGGGGGCCACAGCTGTGTGACTTGGCCAGAAAGGCATGTCCTTCCGCTTCTGCACTCTTACGTAGAGTAGGATTCCACAGGTATCTGTCACCTTGGCTCTGAACCGTCTGGGAAGTCCACTGCCTCTCGGCCATCCAGTTTGTAAGCCCCGGGGCACTGGGGTATGTCTAAGACCGACCTGATGGGAAAACACTGTGGCCTAAAGGATGGCCCTGGAACCACGTGCACAGGAATCACTGGAGATGGGCTATACATGCAGGTTTCTAGCCCCCTGCCCCCTGCTCGTGAAAGCAGACTCCCCGGGGGTGCGCTTTAGTAAACACCCTAGTGATGTTTGAGAACCACTGAGCAGGAGTGACCCAGAACCTGGAGTCAGCTCAGGGCCACCTGCTGTGGATCGGGAGGGCTCAGGCAAAGAGGTCAGGGAGCAGGAGATGCCTTCCCCAGCCTGCCTTCTGTGCGGCGCCGCTGCCTCGTGCATCCATCATTGTGAAGTGAGGGAAGACCTGAGATGCCAAACACATAGCTGCGTCAAGTCACCTGTGGCTCTAGGTCCTTCACCTTTTCAGGCTGCCATTTGCTTCCTGCAGAATTAAGAACTAAGATGAAGTGACCACCAGGGGCAATCCCCAGCTAAACTATCACTTGTCCACTTCTACTCCCCATCATTTTCAAGACCACAAGACATCCCTCCCGTGTACAGAGAAGAGTGCGTCTGAAAGGCTAGCTGTGGCCTGACCACCACTTTGCCCTGACGAGGCTAAAGCAGAGGGCTCCCCCTGCTATCCCCAAGTTCCAGAACTTCTTCCTGCACGCTAGAGATCTAAGTAGCTTGAAGAGACATCCCATGATCAGGAAAACAAAACAGAACCCCCAAAACAAAACAAAAACCCAGGCTCGCTCAGCAGTCTGATCTGAGCACAGAGCCAGCGTGCTGGCCTGACATGCCTAGTGAGGCAGGCAGGCGGAGGGCGAGCAAGATTAGGATAATCCAGGGCATTTGCTTGGTAAGACCCTTATACAGAAGTGGAGCGCTGGAGAAAAGCCTGGTGTAAACTGACGAGTTTGTGAGCACAATCTGTGGATTTGTGAGAGGCGATCTTGCCAGCTAAAGGGATAAGCTCGACAGCTGTGCCTAAGAAGCCTTAACCTGTGAAATATCTTTCAACTTCCTGGCTTTGGAACCAGGGACGGAGGGAGCAGAGGCCTAGGAAAGGTGGCCATGCAGCCCTTTGAAGGCTATGAGAAGGAGGGGAGAAACAGACCCAGGGAGGGTGCTTCAGAGGCTGGGGGCTGGGGGTTTGGCCTCGCCGGAGGCAGTTGCTTAAGAATCCGCTTAGATGTGCTTTCTTCTCCATAGTCCCTCGGCTCCTCCTTGTTGACCCTCCAAGACCCCAGCTCGCTCTCTCCTACACAAAAGCAAAGACCCATTGATGTCTTTTGTTAAAAAAAAAGAACTGGAGAGGTGCGCTGTCTCTGGAAACTGGGGCAACTCACCTTCCAATGATAGGAGCCCAGAGGCCGCCCTCGAGCTAAGGACTCAGAGAAAGTCTTCCGCCTCAGTGAAGTGCCATTAGCAAGAACTAGAGGCTGGAAGTAACTGGGATGCAGGAAAGGGGCAGCCTCTGGGCCCTGAGGAGGAGCCAGGTCAGGGCGATTCCTCTGCACTGGCGGGCGCAGCCAGGGTGGCTGCCTTCTGTCACGTAGCCTCCCACTCGTCCACCGGACGCCCCAGCCCTGGGCATCACCGCCCCCCCGCCCCGCCACCGCGGGCTCTCGCCCGTCTGAGGAACACTACTAGTGACAAATCCACATCTCAGAGCCATCCCATGAGGATCTCATGATGTGCTTGCATCACATGACCTGGAGGACGCACCGAACCAGACTTTAGTCACTGCTCAAAACCTCTTTTCAGGTCAGTAAGGAAAGGTCACTGGGAGGTGAAATGACTCAGGACAATATGGGGAAGAAAATCAGCATTGGCTGAGGCATGCGACAAGAAGATAATGCATGCCCGAACCCTGGCCTGTGTTTGGGTGAGGCCAGCTTCTGCTTTGTTGATGCTATGATTGCTAGGTAACGCACAACAAGGCCCCAATGGGCCTGGGTGCGGCCTTCCCTATGAAGGGAGGGCTCACATGTGCAAAGCCATATGTCAAAGTCAAGATGCTGTGGGTGAGCATTCTTTGAAAGCCAAGAAGAGTGAAACAAATGTAGTATATTTCATCAAGAGACAGTTGAACTGAATGGTCTTTAAGCCCTTTCTCTTGTACTGTGAATAAATAAACTGATTAATTCTCACTGCTTTAAATATCTGAAGTGCTCGATTCACACCTAGGAATGACCGTATCACACCTTGGAGCTGTGTTCTCAGGCTCTCCCATCAATGTTTTTTAGAGACATCAGCAAGAATCAGATATCGGACATTGCTCCAGATGCCTTCCAGGGTCTGAAATCACTCACATCACTGTAAGTGGGGAGCAGAGTCGCGTGGGGTGGGAGGGGGGGGCGGAGTTGGCAATAGGAGAGGGATGTGTCCATATTTTTCAGGAGGTGTTTATCAAGGCTTTATGTTCCCTTACACACTTGTGGCAACCTGGTAAAAGAAACAAATATTTCTTCAGGGGAAATTGATCTTGGGGAATATTTCTACAACCCAAATGCATTATTTTTATTGATTAAGTGCCCAGCAGCCTTCCCAGTTATTGGCTTCTAATTCAAATGCATCTTCTGCTCTACCCACATTTCCCCTCCCACCCGCGTGCCTCAGCAGTGCTCTCTAGGGACCTGAAGGGACGGAACGGTAATATATGTTTATTACCAATGTGCCCATTTCACCTATCTATGTGACCTTGTCAAGGGAGAAGCTAATTTTCTTCCCCTGATTTTCAAGCTTTTCTTGAGTAAGCATCCACCCCCTCCTGTAAGGCCTTTTCTTGGATTTCACAACCCTAGGGCAGCCTGCTGGGTGGAACCACAGCCTCACCCACAGGGACTCAGAGACCCACAGGGGCAGGAAGGCATGGAGCTTTGTCCTGATTCTGTCAGTGACTCACCACGTGGCCCAGGGGACGCCACTTGAGTCTATTTCCCCCCCAGACAAAATGGGGAGAGCGCTATCTTTCCTGCCTAATACAGCTTCAGTGGTGACCATGATAAAATAATTGGCAGTACCTATAAAGCACTTAGGGTGTGCCAGGAGTCTTGCAGGTTTAGTCCTCAGAACAACCTAAAATACAGACTCTTATCCTCATCTCTCTTTTACAGTAGAAGGAATCGGGGTGATCCGAGCTCCGCACAGACAGGAGCTTTTATCTGTTTTGATCCTGGCTGAATCTCTGGCACCTGGAACAGTACCTGGCACACAATAATTGCACAAAAATAAAGCTTGCCGAATAAGTATAATTATCCGAAGTCCACAACGGGGGGAGGCAGGATTTGAACCCACACAGTGTGACTCCAGAACCCATACTCTCAACCCCATGTGATGCTGCCCCTTCACTCCAGATAATGTGAAAAATATACACTAAGACTCGAGAGGTATCATCAGCTGATATCATTTATGTCACTTGATGACCCGCCCACTGAGTAGGGGTGAGCAAGCTGTCTGTGCTTTGCTTCTCTCTGTAACCTGTTTGCTTAATTTATGAGCGGGCAGGTAACAAGATACACATTTTCCCCCACCTGGCCCCATCCCACTGGGAGGGGGCTGAGGACAGGGAAGCCTCTTGACTCAGCTGTTGCCTGCTGCTTGCAGAGTAAATTAGTTTCATTTATCGAATAGAACATCTGGCTGGGTTATCAAAGACAGGATCGTCTGTGAGATTAATGCCTGCTTATTGTGCTGAAGATCACAGAGGAGCAGAGGAGTGGCTGTGTGCTGCCAGGATCCTGTCCCCGCCCCCACCGTCCCATTCCCCTTATCTGGTTTCCCTCTGCTGGGACTTGGGCACAATCTGAGGACTGTGAGATGCTTCTGGTCCTGCAGGGAAAGGAAAAAAAAAAAAATTCAAAATCTGGTTGCCAGACATGGCCAGTTCTGAAATACACTGGGGCCATTAGGGAAGTGCCCCCCCCTAATTTATGCATTCATCCATTCAAGTAGACACCTACTAGGCACATAGAATGTGGCAGTGAACTGGATGGACAAGACCCTTGGTCTCATGGAGCTTGGAACACAAACATACCCAACCCAAACTCAGGAGTGGCCAAGCTAAAAGGCAGGAAAGCCTTGCCCGTACTCATTCATTTATTCGTTGAACAAATACTGTGCTAGACCCTGTCAGCTCTCAGCTCTAGGGACCCAGCCATGAGCAAGCCACATAATGTCACCACACGCATGGAGCCGACGTTCAAGGGAGCTGAGAGGTAGAGGCACAGAAAAACGTTTAAGTAAATGAATACATAAGTAATAGAACATGACATCATGAAGTGATGAAGAAATAAAAACAGGGTGACAGGTGGTGAAAAACATTAAAATATTCAGGAGAAGCTTCCCAAGGAAGAGCTGTGTGCACTGAAGACCTGAAAGGTGGGAAGAAGGCAGTCAAGGAAAGATTTGAGGGCAAAGCCAGGTGGGTCTACACCCAGGTTGCTCCACGGTAGACCCACAGCCCTCTGCAGTCTGCTGGAGAGTGGTTTTGACCCAGTAGGTTAGAGCTGTCCCATATGGAGGTATGATGGGTCATATGAGGATCCCCTGCCCAAGTCCCTGGTCCCACCACCCCACCAGCTGCTGCTACACAAAAGCTCTGACATCAGCCGAGACAAGCAGACAGTGACGCCACAGTGTTGGGCACAGTGAGCGGTGCGACATTAATATGAATTACAAATGTGAGCCTGAGCCATCATGCTGACTTTTATTTACTCATTAATTTGTTGAAACATTAATGAAACACACCCACCAGCTGAATGAGACACTCTTTTTCCTGGTGGCGTCTGGAAAACGGGGTTTGGTTTATCGCCCCCATTTACTATTTCCTCACCCTAGTATTTTGTCTCCTCAAAGACGTGTAACAGCCTGGATTTGCAGTCTCAGTGGGGATTGAATATTGCATTCATGCAGTGTACTTCAGGGCCCAAGAGGGAATTGAAAGGAAAAAACCAAAAAGAAAAAAGCCCTCCTTAGCTCCGTTTCTTCCATGTCAGAGGAGGCTGGACCCAAGAGAAGCAGTCTGTGCCAAACGGATAAAAGCAAGGGAGGCCAGCAGGGTCCTCGGCGCCTATGTGGGGGGGCCAACTGAACCCCCTGGGCACTGGGCTGGAGGAGCTGACCATAGAATTCTTCCCCAAGCCCCCCCACCAAGTTTCCGAAGGCAGCCCATGAATAGGAGACATGGTGTGAGGGACCCTGTAGGTCTGAAAGAGAAAGGGATAAAAGAATTCAGAGTTTCTTGGTTCTTGGAGGTCAAGAAGGGGCTGGAGTGCAGGGGCCATCGCTCCGAGGTCACAGTTCCTTCCTCTCCAGTGTTTCCTGAGAGCCAATCCTTGACTCAGCAGTCCCTGTGCCATCTGGATAGGACCCCAGATACCCAAAGCCCTGTCTGAATGGATGATTAAAGAACTCAGCTCAGGAATTGCTAGGATGCAATGGGATATTAAAAGGAAACGTTCCATAGGCTGGGCTCAGCCTGATCAATACCCATTGAAGACAAGAAGACACAGGGCGGGCCAGCTTCCTACACATCTTATTTATTGCTGAGGTGTGAGTCATATTAGCCACTCAGGGAGACACTACAGAGGGACTGCTGCTCCCTGTTGTGGATTATTTATTGAACTGGGCTGCCCAGGAGTGAAACAGGATGGAGCCCATTTCTCCTTGCCTCCCACACAGCCTGCCTCTCCAGCCCCTGGTGGCACACACCTGCTCTCCCACTGGTAAGGAGGAGGGGTGAGGCCAGCCAGGGAAGGAGATGCTCTGAGAAACCCCACCCACCCACCCGCTGGAGTTGGCCGAGGCGATGGCCGCTACATGAGTGGGTTCCAGGGCCCTGGCCTCCACAGTGACTGCTCTCTTCTCTGCTCTTTTGCAGGGTGCTCTATGGGAACAAGATCACCGAGCTTGCCAAGGGACTCTTTGATGGGCTGGTGTCCCTACAGCTGCTGTGAGTAGGCCCCTTGTCACTGTGTATGTCTCGGAGACTCTTTGCAGGTTCTGCCCTGCAAACTTCGAGCCACGCTCTGTACAGTTCTTTTGATTTTACACACACCAAAAGGAAAAAAAAAAATTCTGAGCTGTCCACCCCACACCTCCATCACCTCTTTTTGGTGGAAAGAAAGCCAGGGAGTTGGCAGAGGGAGGCCAAGGTCAGTGTGAACAAATCTAAATGCTACAGCTCAGGAGCCTGGCCTGGGCATGAGTCACTGACCGTAGATCTGGGGCCTAGGAATTAAGCCTGAGTTGAATCCTACAAGGGGAAGCACCTTGCAGGAGTGTGCTGGGAATGTAGGGAACTCAAACATTGACACACCATGCTGCAAGAAAGCTGAAACAGAGCTCCTGACAGGCATGTGACCTTGAAGAAGGGTGGGGGTGGGGTGGTGAAAGAATTATACAGAAGCGCATAATCAGTCACCAGTGTGACTCTATCTGGGTAAGATGTGGCTGAGGGGGGATGTGTTTATTTAATTTAAAGGAAGTTTTGTTGCCTCGAATTTTAAGCTCTGGGATTATTTATTTGCATTTATTTCATTCTGGTCATTTGAGCTTAAATGTTTGAAGAGGATACTTGAACTCTAATATGGAGAGGCAAGGAGAAGAACCTTGTATTTTAAGATTTTATGATGGGGGTGAGTGATCTCTGGTTTGCAATTAGGTAGCCGTGGCATCCGTGTGCCTGTGCTCTGGGAACGGGAGTATCTGTGTGCGTGTGCACATCCTTGCCCGCTCGGTGACCATCACAATTCCTGTGAGTATGAGGAGTTGATCTTGAGTGTCCTGCGAGCAGTGGAGAAGACAGGTCTCGGAGGGGTAAATGACTTGTCCTCTGTCACACAGCAAAGTCCGTGTGGAGACCGGAGAAGAGCTGACTGGAGAAGGCATTCAGTCCTTTGAGTAGAGGTGTGCATCTGGAGTGCAGATGAGTGAGCGAGCGTGTCCGTGTGTCTTTGTAAAACCATCTCCAAGCCACAGGCGGTGAGGAAGGGCCGCCCCCCCCCCCCATGCGCAGTTAAGCAAAGCTGCGGTAGGAACGTGCAGACGGTCTGGGAGGGAGGCCAGGCGCAAGAACAGAGAGAGGAAGGTGGGCCGCGCTCTCTCAGGGTGACGCCCAAGGACTCTTCAAGGAAGAGCAAGTGAGACTCTTCGCCAGCCCTTCCCTTTCCACATCTTCACTCCCTACCCTTCCCATGTCCTGTAAGCCTCAGGCCTGGACAGGTCCTCCTAGGACAGTGCAGTCACGGCTGTCATGCCCAGCAACTTTCCAGGCAGCATGTCCATCCACAAGCAGTAGTCGGTTGGTTTCAGTGAAGCTGAAAGCAAGAGAAAGAAGATTCCGTGTCTTTTTCTCTGTGTCTCCCCTCACCTCTGTCTCTAGGCCCGTCTCACTCTGAGAGTCTCTGTGTAGGCATATTGGTTTCAAGGGTCGCAGCCCTCAGGTGAGCCCTTCGGGCTGTTTGTTACAATGACACACCAGGACTCTGCAGGGAGCTGGGTGTTTCATAGATGGTGTTCTTTGCTTGTAGCAAAGAAACTGTAAGGTATAACCACCACCAGAAGGCTAGCTAACTGTAGCTATTAATCCCTGGAAGGAAGCATAACAACAGCATGGGCCTTGAGGTAGATTTGGGGGTGTTATGTTCCACTGGGCTGGGGTAAATATCCCTATACAATCTGCGTGTCTGGTGTGGATGGGAAAATGCCCTTGCATACATTAAGGAGAAATCTAGCATGCATCAAAGTGCCCAGCACAGGGCATGGCATGTTGCAAAGATCAATACATGCATGGGTTCAGCCGGGGGGGGGGGGGGGAGGGCAGTTTGCATGTTTTTTAAAAAAGGAAATGTCTCCCAGGCTGACAGCGGTGATGATATTAATAGAACTCACAGGACTTTGCACGGGCAGGGAAGGCAGCTCTCGTTCAACCTCACCAAAATTTTTAGCAGATGGAATGGAGTAGCTGGGAGTAAAGACAAAGCATCCCCCCTCACACCGGACCAAGAGTTGACACAGCTTAGGCTCGCTTTCCAGAAAGCAGCAGCAACCACAGCCCGGCATTGGGCTTTGACCTGCTGCTGAGCAGTTGGAAGGCCTGTCCTGATCAGATCTAATTTAGCGTCCAGCCCACTGTAGATTGGATTTCTCCTTGTTAGACTGGAGACACTCTGACAAGAAGGCTCTGATTAGAATACCCTGGTAGTCTGGGTAATTTCCCCTCCTTTGACTCGAAGGCTTTTTGCGAGAGGTTTGTGTTTATTTTTCTCTCTCCATTTCTCCAATTACTGGTGCGTCACAAAGCCAAGCTGTCTCTGCCACGTGAAGTGATCGTGGCTATTTCCTTTCTTGTCATGAAGCTGCCCGTAGCGAAGTGGATACATTGAGTTGTCCTGCCTGCCCTCCCGTGTCCCATTTCTCCACATTTTTCAGCCATCCCACCAAATTTGCCCAGTCCCTGGATCATCCTCCTGGGTCGTTTTCTTGATAGGTTTGTTCCAGCAGATGGCCAACACTAGGAGTAGACTATCTCAGGCTTCAGAGTTTCTCAGAGGCTGCCTTTACAAATGGGTCTACGTGGAAAAGCTTCAGCAGTCCTGGGAGTGACCCCCTAAACCCGACGCCCTGTCCTCTGGGTGTCAGCCTCGAAAGAGTCACCTCCTTTAGTTTAAGTCCCAGAATCTTAGAGGTTAAAGGAACTTCGGGGCTCCAAGCACAGTCTCCTACCCCTTGGTGCAGGAACCCCTCCCGTGCCCTCCATGACAAATTTGATCTATTCTTACTGATGGTGTTTGCAATAAGTCATAACTATGTACTGAGAAGGTTAGGAAGTTCTTTCTTATACTAAACCTCAATAGTGGCTTCTGGGAAACTCAGAAAAGGCTGTTCTCAAAGTCTTCAAGTGTTTCAAAATGACTAGTATGTCTCCCTGTAATTAATCCCAAACAGGTTCAGTTCCTGCAGACACTTAGTGTGTAAACACACATTCGTTGGTTATTAGTAACAGCCCTTATTTATCTTTGGGGGAGCGTGTGGTGGTCTGTCAGCTTCCCTCCTTAAAATAGACTGCTGGGGAGCAAGTCCAGCGCCCATTTGGACCAGAAATATGTTTAGAGACACCCTCCTAAACCACTGAGAACTGAAATATCCCACATGAAGACATCTCAGAATCCATGGTTAGGACAGGATATGCCACTGTGCATATGCCTCCAGCTCCAGGGATGGATGCAGCTGGACGACCAGAGAGGTGACCTGTCCTCTTCTCCCGTGCTGCGCCCGTCCCCTTCCTCACCAGAAACTTACGGTCAGTGCTTAGGGTGCTCCTGTTCCTGTCCATTCCCCTGCCTGCCCAGGCTCCTGGGTTCCTGGGACATCAGCCAGTCAAGTGCCCCCAGATCCCTCCCATTGTAGCTCAGAGGTCAACCTCTCCCAAAGCAGGAAAAGCCATCAGCATGTCTCTAGAACCATCACTTTCTCTTCGGATGGGCAGTTGCAAGTTGTGCTGTTTCAGCTCCCCCAGGAAAGAAAAAGCTTTCATTTTGTGCTCACTGATTGCACGGCATGCCCAGGAAAGTCACCTGAGTGGGGCGGGCGGTAATTTGAGGCAGAAGCTTTCTTGTAAATGCTGGCCCCGATCGATGTTAAGCCGGCCCCAGGAGGTCTTAAACCAAACCAGACTGCCTTTGGGCTGGAATAAGTTAAGACAACCCAGGCACTTGTTGTTTGATTTTCTTGGAAGGCAGACAAGACCTTTTGAGAATCTTGGAGTTTGCCAAGCAACATGCCAATTATAGGGCAGTAAGCAAAACTTCACTCCTGTAGCTCACTTTCCCTCACCAGCTGTTTCACAAGTAATATTACTGCTGCTAATAGTAGCCACTAACATTTACTGACTACTTAGTATGCTCCAGAGCCCGTGCTAAAGCAATCTGATATGCTTATATGCTTCTCTAATCCTTACAAGGATGCTAAGAGGAAGGTATTTTTTTTTTTTTTAAGATTTTATTTATTTATTTGACAGAGAGAGACACAGCGAGAGAAGGGAACACAAGCAGGGGGAGCAGGAGAGGGAGAACAGGCTTCCCGCCGAGCAGGGAGCCCGATGCGGGGCTCGACCCCAGGACCCCGGGACCATGACCTGAGCCGAAGGCAGACACCTAACGACTGAGCCACCCAGGCGCCCCAAGAGGAAGGCATTATTGAAAGGCCCATTTTACAGATGAGGAGACTGAGGCACTGAAGGGTTAAGTAACATGGCCACTGTCAGTCAGCATGTAAGTGGCAGTCTAATTCTGGAGTCCATGCCAGAGACTTCTGCTTCAGCCCCGGTCCCAGGCAGATCTGCAGAGCTAGTTTGGGGATCCATGGAACATTCCTCACAGGCTCATGCCGAGGAGGAGGTGCTGCTGAACTGTCTCCAGTTCCTTTGGCTATGCCTCAGTATCAGTCATGGGCTGCCGTCTCCCTGGGACTTCCTCTGGTTCCTTGGCATCCCACTAACCCCTGTGAGAGGGCATGAAGGAGCTGCTTGTCTTTAAAGACTGCATCAAGGCAAGATGATTGAAAACTCTACCCCGCAGCATAAGCAAACCTGCTTTGTGATGCACTCTTGAGAGAGGACTTCCTCCCTTTCTTGTGTGCCTGGGGCTTCCCAAGGAAGGCCTTCAGGGAGACTTAAAGTCTGGGGTCATCCCGTGCTTGGTCATTGAGTGAATGACTCACCCCTCTTAAAGGACAGATTAGCAAGCAGGAGGCAAGAGGCGAATGACCACCCTAGTAGCTGTTAAGGGAGAGGAGCAAGCCCGGTCCCACTAGGTGAGGCCTTTGACCTCCTGAGAGCGGGTGATGGCTTTCCTGTCTGGTCTCTCAGAGTCTCCGCTTCCCTCTGCTTGCACCCTGTTCCTACAGTCCTCCTATATCTGTGGACTCCAAGGAGGTCCTGTTTCTCAGGCCACCTGATGGCATTGCTACATTTGCAGCTTCCCTTGCATCAGGAATCACCATGACATCCCACAGCTGGTGACCAGCAATGCAGCCATTATCAGGAGAAAAGGGAAGTCCCCTTTGTCCTTAGTTGGGCGGGGGGAGGGGGGGACTCCTCCTGCTTCTCTGCATGAGCATTTAGCCTGACATGGCCCAGAACAAGACTGGGCAGGGTTAGAGTTTCTTGACCTCGTGGCACTAGGCATCACCAGTCTCCTCTCCAGGTCTGGCTGCAGTAGACTCCTGAAGGTCAAAGTAAATCCCCCACATCATATGGTAAGGGTGAGAGCATTATATTTGTTCTAAGGCGAGAGAGTAGTCCTTATTACAATCAGTGGATAAAGAAATTCAGGATGATAGAAGGTTAATTCTAGAGAAATTAAAAAAAAAAAAAGAGGAACAGATTAATGAGGGAGGTTTGACTCTATACCCTACAGCTTAATCAGGGGTCCAAAATATCTCCCTAAATTTGTGTCCTCACTAATAGTTTATGCCAGTGTGTAATGGTGGTTAATACTTTCAGGGAGAGAACTCTTTGAAGGAGGAACCATAGACAGGGTTATGCCAGGCAGTTGTTGGTACCATCCTTCTCCTCCTGTGTATCTGCATCTGAGTGTTTACGAAACAGAAACTGACTCACAGCCTTGCGTTGGGAAAAGGAGGCCCCACAAAGCCCCCCTCCCCCCACCCCCGTGGCAGGAGCCTGGGCCATCTTCCTGTCCCATGGTCTTTCCTGCAAGGGCTTCGCTTATTTCCAAGAAGGGGGTCACTGTACTCTTTCTTGGCACCAGTTTTCTGAGAAAACCTTGTACTGTGGAGTCTGGAACATGCTTGTGGCATTTCCCGACAAACACCATCGAAATAGGAGGAGTAACGTAACTGCTGTCTTCCAGAGACCCGTGGGCAGGTGTGGAGACTATAAATACCACCCAGAATGTGAGCTCTGGGCCACTGAATCAACACATGAACTGCCAGAGTTGCCAAGGTGATTTTAATGCAATTTATCATTAAACCCAACTCCAGATGTTTGTGTTTTCCAAACCTTGCAGCAAAGGTCTGTGAGCTCCATGGGACTCTTCACTGAGGAGGAGATGTGGGCAAGGACAGTAGCTAAAAATGGGGTCTCAGTGGCCTTCTGCCCCACTGGCCTCTTTAGGAGAACTGGGTGTGGTGGGTCCTCTTCAGCGATCAGCGACCTCATCTCCCTCCCGTGGTTCTTCTCCTTGGGTTACCTGGACCTGGAAGGGACAGAGCTGCCAGCTGCCCCCTGTGTTGAGAGCAGCTGGGACTTCTGTGGTGAGGCCAGGCCGGGTCCCCGAGCAGAAGGACTCGAGTCACGAGGGCCCCCCTGAGCGCAGATTCAGGGTATTTCACACACACACCCCCAGCACACACACACACACACACACACAGGCCACAGCGCTGTGGTTCTCCGTGGCATGTTTGCTGCCTTGCCTTTTCTGAAGGCAACAGCTCTGGAAAGGATTATCTCCTAGCAGCATCGTCATGTTGGTTAGTCAGTGGGCTGAGTGCTAATACCTCTTGACACGGAACATATGTGGAAGCCAAACGTGCTCCGAGAAGGGAGGTGGCAGAGTGCCTCGTAGGGCTCACGCTCGGAAATAAATTTAGAAGGTGATGTCCATGCGCTCCCACTCCCAAATGCGCCACTCTCCTTAATCTCCTCTGAAGGGAGCATGGCTCTTTTTGTTTTGTTTTATTGTAGAATCATCGCTAAGTTTGTGGGAGTGGCTACAGAGAACACACTGCTACCTCCTCCCATAAGCACCAGGTGACTCCCCAGGTCCCTTAGTGGGCATCAGGGTGGCATCATAGGTGGGAGCAAAATCTTGGGCTTAGATGGCGTAGATCCACTTCTCAACCTACCATCTGTGCAAGTCTGGTCACTGGTACTTAAGCCTTCTCTGTCCCAGTGGTGTCATCTGTCATACGGAGATGGCACTCATCCTGCAGGGCTGTGGGGAGATTAATGAGTTAGTGTTTGTAAGGAGTTTGGTGGGTACCTGGCCATACATCATGCTCGTTATACCTGTTAGGTCATGTGGCCCTGCTGTTCATCTGGCCTGACCATCTCAGCCCCTCTCTTCTTTTGCTTGTAAGACCTCTGAGGCATTTGGGAGGTGGGTCTGGGAGCAGGTAGGCCTGGGAGGAGGTGGCCCCAAAAGATGGTTGGATATGCTTTTGGGGAAATATTTATGAGCACAGTATGCCCCCAGCCCTTGAGTTCCTGGATTCAGCAGACCAAGCTGGGATGTAGTTAGGATGTCAAAGATTTGAGTTTGAATACTGGGCAGCCTCTTGAATGAGACAAGCTGGAGCATCTCATTTTGCATGAGGGATGCTGTTGTCCCTGCTTCATCACTGTCCCCTGATCTGCCCGGGGTAGAGTGATAATTCAGGGGAGCCATGCGTACCAGCTCCCAAATCAGCATGTGGTCAATGATCACTGAAGGTGGAAACCCTGCTTTGTACCTGTGTGAGCCCCTCAGTGAAGAACCTGCCACTTTGTGCCAATGGCAGTTTGGTGAGCATCCCAAAGAGCATCCCATCTCTCATAGCTTGGTGCCATGTCCTTCCTTAGAGTTGGCAGGATTCCTGATACCTCTACACAACCAAGAGGCAAGCAGTCTTCCAGACCCAATCAGACCTCTGTCCACCAGGTGCATTTCAAAGCTAGCAGCTCCCAGAGACGAGGAATGCCCTCCACTGGGCACGGAAAAGAGGGTATGGATTTTATGTGTTGGAAAGAGTCGAGGTCTGAAGTCAGGCTGGCCCTTCACTTATCACTGGATGACCTTGGTCAAATCCGTCACCACTCTGACCCTCGGTCTCCTCACCAGCAAAATAAGGACAGTCTTAGCGCCGCTCTGCAGGTGAAATAAAATGCTGCATGGAAAGTGGTTCAGAAACTGCTGGGCCCGGGGCCGCCCAGAGCTGTGGTCTCTGGAGATGACGCTGTATTATTAGTATCACTTCACACAGCAGCCACACGACTGCTCCTCAGAGGGGGAGGATGACATGGGCAGGGCAGATGGGGCAACCTTGAAGGAGAAAGAGGGAGAATCAGTCCCCCCAGTGAAACACAGAGGAGGCCTGTCTTCAGGACTTCTTAGGGAAGTGCTGAACCCCATTCTAAATAGCTGCTTCCTCTCTGTTTGCTCTATCACAGCGTGTTTTTTTAATTCGCCTCCAACTCTTGTCCACGTATCAGGAGCTCGGAGGTCCTTCCGTGAAAGGCAGATGAGTAGCTGCCAACCTTCCTCACAAAGGAGAGAAGACAGAAGGACAGGCTGTTAGATCTTGCTGGTGCTAGGGATCAGCGAGGCTGTCCTCAGCATCCGAATCTGGATAAGCAGCTTAATTTTATCTCTCCCTGCACCCACATGTCTCGCCTTAGGGGGCCAAGCATCCTGGGAGAGAATGAGTGACCAGAAGACTATGCCCTTCTGCGTTTCCATCGCTCCCTGCCTCACGGCTCCGCACCTGATGCTGTCTCTGCCTAGTAATTCTTTGCCCAGTGTCCAGCATTCTCCAGAGCGGCAGCTGGCCTTGTTAATCTGCACTAGGTCTCAAAAATGAGTGCCCACTCAGGAGAGATGGGCAAATAGTGAGGACTGTGGCAAAAGGGAGCATAGGTCCTATCTAAAGGGGACACCCACTCCGTAGCCGCCTCCAGGTGATGCAGCATTGCTAGAACTTCTGAATTTTTTTTTTCAAGAGGAAATAGAAATCCAGTGTGTGTGTGTGTGTGTGTGTGTGTGTGTGTGTGCGTGTATGAGCGAGAGAGATTTCCTGATTTATAACACTGGGAGGGTAAATAAACAGATTTGCATTTGGGATGTTGCAATATCTTGTAGGGAGGATTCTATTCTCAGGCCATCAGACCTCTAACTTGGTCTCTTTCCTGAATTGTTCAATGTTCTCTAGCAAAGTGCTGCCCTCAGAAGGCCCTGAATATCAGGGTTTGGAACAAATCATTCACCATGTACTTTATTTTTCTTTGTAAACAAGCAAACCAAACACGCATATGTGACGGGTCCATTCCCGCCCCGTGGGTGCTTGGCCCTGCTGGGTCCCTCCAGCTTTTCTCCACAGTGTCCTCCTTGGAGAGTGATCTTGACTAAAATGTAGTAGACAAAGCCCAGGAAACTCTTTGGGGAATGCCACAGAGGGGATAGACAGATGGGCGGGGTGTATAAGGCATTCATAAAGAAGAAAGTGCACCCTCCAGAGACCTCAGTTCTTGTGACTGCCTCCAGCATGCTCCCTGGAAACACGTGTGACCTTGATCAAGCCACCACACTCTCAGCCTCTGTTTTTTTACCTAAACATGGGAAGCTGGCCTTGCCCATCTGCCCAGGTTACCGTGGGAACGCGGGGAATGCCAGGAAAGCACTTTGGAAAACCAGGCAAGTATTCTAGCAATGGGAGCTTTCCTCCAGGAGGACATCTGTGTGAACCCTTGGGACCCTGCCCATTATTAGCCAGATTAAACAGGCACTTCTTCCACTTGTCACCGCCACAGCTGCCTGCCTACACACAGGCTGCAGCATGGAGAGGTGGCACAGATGACGGAGCCCCTGGGGGCAGCCTTACCAACCCGAGTCCCCCCGGACCCCGGCGTCAGAGCCTCCAGAGGCAAGCCAGCCCATGACGAGTCTCCTGGGCCATCCCCCCGCAGGAGAAGCTCTGAGCCAGCCTTGTGAAAATAGAAATTTTAAAAAGTTAACATTTTTACTGGTTAGTTTAGTTCTCCCTATCCCCCCTTTAATTAAAAAGGGGAACTGATTTTACACTAGTTAAGAGGGCACAACCTGTCGGTCTAGCATCATAAAGGAAATTCTTAGGACTCAGATTTGCTTGACTTGCCAGCCCCATTCTGGAGAACTCTCCTATAACCCTCACGGCATCCCCTGTGCTGGACCAGAGTTTTCCTGGAAAGGCAACTTCCTTTGGTGCTGGGGTTTTTTGGGTTTTGGTTGGTTTTTTTGTTTGTTTGTTTTGGGTTTTTTTGTTTTTTGTTTTTTTGGTGGAGGGAGGGGTCTGAGGATCTAAAACCAGGGCAGAGGGGTGCCACCTCACAGGCATGTGGTCCTCTGGAGTTGTGTATGGGGCTGGGTATATTTCTTAGCAAATGCTCATGCTGAGCACTAAGAAGAAAGGGAATAAAAGAGATGTCATTTGTGCCACCAGAGCTTATAGTCATCATAGGTGGGAGGCAAATGGTAAACAGCAACGAACATTCTGGAATCACAAATTGAGAGAAGTGCTATGAAGACAAGAAACTGGGGCTATGGGAGACACTAGTGGGGGGCCTGGGGGCCTTGGTGTAGATGAGGGGATCAAGGCAGGCCTCTCTGAAGAGGTGACATTGGCACTAAGATGCAGACGAGGGGAAGGAACCACCTGGTGAAAGGGGGTAAAGAACGTGCTCAAAGGACCTGGTCCAAAACACTTATGGGGGTGTCTGAGGAACGGAAGTGTCGTGAGTGGGGATACATGGGTGAGAGGGAAAGGGGGAGAGGTCAGGTCACATGAGGTTCCATCCATGCACGTGTACGCGTGCGTGTGTGTGCGCACATGCATGCACGTCAAAGAGAGAATGCGCCTGTGGGTGCACATGTGCTTACCCATGGGTGACTTTTCTGGGAGATCGCATGACCTGTAACCTAATGGGACCCGTGGTTCAAAAGAACTCTAAGGAGTTTTCGGAGTCAAAATTGCCCTTAGTCAATCAACACAAGCGTTAGCACAATTGTGCCCAATGATGTTTTTGCAATTCCTGGAAGCTCTGCATTCTGAAGCAGAAAGGAAAGCACAGCGGTGCATTTCCAGCCTTCCCCGGAGGGCACGGGCACAGGGAGGGCTCCAGGTGATCTCGGCATGTGGCACAGGGTCCATGCTACCTGGCGTACAAGTGCCCAGACGTGTGTGGAGGTTCGGGGGCCACAGGGATGCAAGAGACACACACACACACACACACACACTCCCTCAGCAGCAGGAGCCGTGGCTGCAAGGGGAGCGAGGGGCTCTGCAGCTTGTCCCCTGCAGGCGTAGCCCTTGCACCGCAGGGAACCAGCAGGATTAGTGAGTCACTGGCCTCTCTCCTGCTTGCAGCCTCCTCAATGCCAACAAGATCAACTGCCTGCGAGTGAACACGTTTCAGGACCTGCAGAACCTCAACCTGCTCTCCCTGTATGACAACAAGCTGCAGACCATCAGCAAGGGACTCTTTGCCCCTCTGCAGGCCATCCAGACCCTGTGAGTACGCCCCCTCAAGTGTAGCACGTGCCCAGACAGTGACCCCAAACACCCAGACACAGAGAACGCCCCAAAGGAAGGCAAAGTGAGCATGTCCAGGAGGAGATCTAGAGCCTGCAGTGAGGACGGACTAATAACTGTGGTTCTAGCTCACCTCTATTGAACACTCCCGCGCTGCTCCACACCTCGCTGAGGACTTTCCCTGTATTCAGACCTTTAGGCCTCACAGCAATCCTATGAGGTAGGTGCTGTTATGAGCCCTCATTTCTCTGTGAGGAAACCAGGGCACAGAGAGGTTAAGTAACTTACTCAAGGTTGCACAGCTAGTAAGATGCCGTATTTGAACAGGCGGAGTTGCAGCTCACCTGCTCTGTTAACCACTGTTGCCAGTGTGGTCTGAGCCGGCTCCTTCTCTGCTGATAACCCAGTCCTGCCCACCCACACCCCCCACCAGCCTGCAAAACCCAAAACCTCTGATACAGGCACTCGGAATTTTTCACCTCCCATCTTCAGGGAGCACTTCCTCATTCCCGAGCGCTGCAGATGTTCATAAGTAACTCCATTAGATACATGACACCTGAGAACAGATCTCCGCCCAGCCCGGGCCCGACCATGAACCTGGGGCTTCTGTACGCTTTCTAAGTCACCTGGCACTTACTGCCCCTGTAGCCAGAGGCAGGTGCCGATAGAGTTAAGAAGAGCCGCTGTATGTTGAACAGCGACCGCATGCTGAGCACCCCCGTGTTGGCGCTGTGAAGAGTTTTCCCGTGAGCCAGGGGAAGCCAGACCCGCGGTGCTGGCCTGGCGACGAGGAGGAGAGCAGCAATGCCATGCCCACTGCTGTGTGTGGGACACCCGTCATGTGCCAGTCAGCACGCCTGCTGCTCACGTGCCTGGCATTCCTGGGCTTGGAGAAATCAAGTCCGGGCTGCTGTAAGCACAGACCCTGAGCCTGCCCCTTGCTTGGCCCATCAGAACCGGTGTGGGTCAGGGTCGAGATCAGTGGTGGGTCCTACCTCAAGTCAGGAGAGCAGGGAGACGCCCCCCCCCATCCCCCGGCTGGCTGCCAGCTGCAGCTGTGACCCTCTCTGACCTCAGCTCCACCCCCCGCCCCTGCACCCTGCCCGAGGAGGAGGAGGGGCCCAGCGCCAGGCAAGGTGGTGGTGCAGCGTGGCACCACGGGTCACTCCTGATCAATTCTCCTCCCTCTCGCAGCCACTTAGCGCAAAACCCATTTGTGTGTGACTGCCACTTGAAGTGGCTGGCTGACTACCTGCAGGACAACCCCATCGAGACGAGCGGGGCCCGTTGTGGCAGCCCACGCCGGCTGGCCAACAAGCGCATCGGCCAGATCAAGAGCAAGAAGTTCCGCTGCTCAGGTAATCAGGTTACGGGGCTGGGCGCCACCTCCCAACTCAGAGCACAGCAGCCCCAGAGAGGCCGGTAATCCAATCTGGAGGACAGCAAGCACTGTAATGGCTCCTCGGGAGCATCTCTGCAAATTAAATTGGGGAAATTCAGTTAGTCCTGCAGAAAACCAATTACCTTATGGATTTAAAATAAAACACACACACACAATAAAAGCATGGGGAGGGTGCACAATTTCAGGAGAGACAAAACCCAGGTGGCAGCCTATCTCCAGGGCTAGGTGGAAGCTAGGGGAGGGGCAGCCTTTACCCATGTGCCTTTTAGAGGCCATGATTTATTTTCTTTTAGTTCCCAAAGTGTGCTCCCCAAGTGGCAGATAGGGAAATAAATATCTCCCAGGCCAGGCTGCAGGCAGCATGTAATGTTGGGGGCCTCCCATCCCCTCTAAGATGGCCTTTGGTACAGCCCTTAGACCAGAGTTTGTTACAGATTTCAGACATTCTCGCTAGCTGACTCCTCCACCCCAGACTGGTGCATTCTGCTTATGGAGAGAACAGCAAAGAGCTGTGCTCAGTAGGAAAGCAAAGCCTTGCCCTCCAGTTTCCAAGCTCTCTCTGGAAACCTTCCTCCCTATTGCATCCGGGAAAGAGACCAGGGGTGAATGGCAGCAGGGGAGTTCTCGGTTCATCTTGGAAAGAGAAGTAGCCGTCCTTGACCTAATAGCTAGATGAACAGGCAGTTAAAAATGGCGATCATCTGTGTCAGTTGCTGCTGGAAAAATTCACCACACTGCGTTGTGCTCGCAATGGTGAGAGATGAATAGTAGGACGTGCTGAGATGGGTTGGCACCAACCCTCACAATCTGTGTGTCAGCGAGAACCCTTCTTCTCCCTTGCCCAAGAGCATCTTATGTAAGCGAGTTCTCCCAGGGAGAATGACAACGTGGGCCCTGGTCGCCAGGAGAAGACCAGCAGACAGACTTCTGCCTCTTTCATGTTGTTCTTGGCCTCTAAGTCAGATCCTTTAGTCCATGTCTCCAGAGGGGTAAACTTCAGCTATTTGCTTTTTCCGTAGAAACCAATACCTCAAGAGAGCTTGGAGACACCACAGGGACTCTGTGGCAAAATGAGGCATTGGTCCCAACTTACCTTCTGCAGAATAACAATGTCAATTACAAGAGCAGTTTCTGGCTGGTGATGAACTCTGTGCTGAGTGCCTCTAGTTTGATTTGGTTCTTCCACTAGTCCTCTGAGCTCAGCAGGAGGGGTCCCCATTCTGCAGCTGAGGGAGCCAGGGGCCTAGAGGTGAAAGGGCACCCCCATGGTCACAGCAAGCAGATGGTAGAGGCAAGACCAGACCCCAGGTCTGGTTCACTCCTCAACTCTGCACAGCACGTAGGAGAGAAGGAACATTTGGGAAGGCAGTCCAACTGCTTGGGTGACTCTCTTTTGCACGCAGTCTCATGGCCCGCCCCCCACCCCCTGCAACTCTTTCCTTAAGTTCCTTCTTGGGGCTGGCAGCATCTCAGGGAGGCAAACCTTCTCCCAGCCCGGAGGTGTCACCTGAAGCACAACCGTCCTTCCCCAAGGCCTTTCTCATAACACACACCTCTTATTCCCTCTGCCCCCTTTGTTCCTCTCCAAGTCTGTCCAGGGCTGAGTTCATTAGCTCTGTCAAGCAGTTGTGCCCCAGAAGAGGGGCAGTAAGGCACAGAGGAGGATGGGGTGCCACCTACTGACCCCAAACCCTTGGTCTTCCATTGTGATCTCAAAGCTCCAGATTGATGCCAAGACCATGGGGGCAGAGCAGGAGTGGAATCAGTCCAGGGTCCAAGGACCAGCATCTCCCAGGGACCGAATCTGGCCAAGTGCCTAGGAATGACTGTAGGCTGGGACTAGGGGTGGCAGGGTGGGGGTGCAGGCAGAACTAAGTAGAGAGAAAAAATAGTAAGCTGACCTAGGACACAGTAACCTATCATTCTCTTGCTCTGCCCCTACCTCCCCACCTTTGCATGGGAGGGATCCTGGCTGCTTTTCCTATGGAGGGTAGGAGTGGTTGGAAATTGTAAAAAGAAACAGAAGTTCAGGGTTCTTGGACTGACCCTGTCTAAAAGATTTTTTTTTAATCAATACTAAGCAGATTATTCCTATAAAGGTAGAGGACGTCAGAGCAGATGCCTGACATCGAGCATTCTATGTGCTATTACTTCATGTAGCTGCAGAGAAGAGAGGTAGAGAGAGCCACTGGTGAGCATCAAAGGCCTTGGCTTTGACAGACACTGGGGCCCAGACCTACCTTGGCTTTAGGGGATACAGAAGCCATAGGTCTAAAGCTCTGTGTTTCCAGGAAGCTCCAGAAGAAGGAGGGGCAGGTGACACATACTGGAGTTGACAGATAATAACTCCTCGTTTTACTTTCCCCTAAAAGCACCCCCATTGCAAAGACAGCTGATGTAATTAGAAGCCAATTTGAGGGCTGCTCCTGCAACGCATAAAGCCCCTCCATAGGCAGGGCGTCTGGCTGCCAGCTGCCCTGTGTCTACCTCTATCAGCTGCATCCGCCGCCCTGGGCAGCAGTCTCAGGTTAGAGGTGAATGCTGCCAGCCAGCGTCATCTGACCATCGGATTAAGTCCCCCTGGAAAGGCACCGTCTGGCTGCCTGGGACTCCAAGCCCATCCCCAAGGGAGCACTTGGCAGTTGGAAGATGCTGCCTGTCTTCCATCACCTCCCCCCTCTCCCCCCCCCCCCCCCCCCGCCTTGGCGTGTAGAGATCTGTCGGCAAGAAGAAATTCACAGGGCAAAGTACAGAAGGTGGTGACACGGTATGCACAAGGATGGCAAACCACAAGACACTGCTCAGGGCATCAGAGGCTTAGAGACCTCAGAGATCGCCCAGTCCCTGCTAGAGATGATGAAATCAAGGCCCACCCAGCAGAAAAGTATTGTCTGAGGTTAGAGAGTAGTATTTTCAAGACGAGATCTGAAACCCCGGACTTCCGATGTACTGTGAAGATTTTCTCCCATGTCCCTCCATTTCTTTTTGTTGAGGGAAATCAAAGAGAAGGTTTCAAGGCTTGGGGGCAGGGGCATGAAAGGGATGGATTTTTTCCCTGCTCTGATCAAACTGGAATGTGAAGTCCCCAAACCAGAGTGTTATAGAGCCCTGCGTATCTAGGGGTCGAAGCAGGGTTGAGACCAGATTGCAGTGACCACCTCTAGCCGGTCAGATGGGAAGGCTTTGAAAGAGGTCAGATCTGGGGCTGTGATGTGACCTTGACTAACTGGTCAACCATTGCAGACAACCTTTGTATGCGCTGGCGAGATGCTGTGACCATCTTGTCCCAAAAACACACTGAAGAGGAACAGCGACTCCGTCCCTCCTATCAGAGGGCAAGAGTAGGGAGGTTCCCAGTCACCTGGCCCTGACTCTGACCTCGTCAAGATGTACACATCTCCTCCTAGTGGCTTGGGAGGAAGTTCGTAAAAACTGCCCCTGATCTATTGCAGATAGGGATCTAGGGACTAAGCGCCCTCACTTAGGCCCACAATACCCAGAAAGAGTTGGTTGTTGGTCCGTCTACCCACTGCCATGATTCACAACCATGGAGGAAATCTGGAAGTCAGGAAGGACCGTAGAATCTGGTGTCTTCCCCCTTTCCTTCCTTCTCTTAGTCTGAAAGAGGCCACTTATCATGATGGGAACTGGTCACCTCCTCTGTGAAAGTCGGTGTTCGCAGACAGTTGTGATTGTAGGTTTCCCAGTCCCAAACGCAGGGCCCTATCGGCTTTCCCATCTTTCTCCCTGGCTAAGGTCACATATTTTCTTTTGATGCCATACTCCCCCTCCATGATACTTCGAGTCATCTTGGATGAATGTCTGTCAGCCAGAGGGTTTCTGGGCGCCTGGAAGGGTAATGGGGAGACTCCTGAGGTATGGAATATCAAAAGGCTCTTTTCCTAAAGAAGAGCATTGCAGCTTTGTTAGCCCACCGGAAGTTGTGGCTTGTCTCTTCATTTAAGAGTCTGGGAGATCAGACTGCTGTGAACCCACTCTGCTATGGGGACGGACAGGTTGCAGAGCATGCGGAAGATGCTTCTGCTAAGATTGATGTCTTGGCAGATCGATGGTATGATTGAGTGGGATTCAGAGGTTCAGTGCAGGCCTGTGAGATGACCAGAGACATTTGCAGTCATAATTCCCTTGGGAGGGCTCCGTTGTGCCCTGATACTTCTGTGTAGGGGTATCTAACAGTCTCCCACCCGTTCTTCTCCCCTTCCCACGTGTCTCCCCTGGGAACGGGCTACAGGGGGGTGGGGCTCCTGTCTTCGGAAGTGTTCCTGTGGAACCCTGCTCCTGGTACTAATCACGCTCAGTGGGGGCCTGCTCCGGCTTCCGCTTCTCCACGCTGCTTCCTCTGAGCGCTCCTGTCCTCTCTCTGACGCTGCTTCCTGACCTTGACTCTGACCAGTCGCCGCGGGGCTTTCCTTTGTGCTTGATCTAACCATGTGGTGGAACGATGGAAACGGAACATGGTTCTGTCAAGCACCGCGGAAAGCACCGCGCTCTCCTGCAGCATGGCCCGCCACCAGCACCACCGCCACCGCTGGACACCTCTTCTCTGCTCTGGAGCACCGCAGCCCAGCACCTGCCAGACCCACCTGTCCCGGTCTAGCCTCACAAAGGGCGGGAGGGGGCGGGTGCGGGGGGGAGTCTTGAAGGATTCCCAGAGCACCTCCACCTCCAGGTAGCAGATATGGGCTGAAATGGGTATGGAGAAGCACACGGGGGACACGCTAAGATCTATATCCACATCTGCTACCCCAGATGGAGTCGTCATCCCCCAGATCTACACTGGATGCCGGACGAGGGGTAAAGTAGCGAGGTCATAGCTCAGAAACCCCTGTTTTCCTTCTCTTCAGAGAGAGCAGGTACACCGATGGCATATGCCCCATGGTTTCATGGCAGGGTCCCAGTGCAAGGTCATTTTTCCCAAGTGGTAGCTAACCCAAAGGTCATACTGCTTGTGATCCACTCCTTACCCGCCATCTTTACCGGAAGCATTGGGGATGGATGTGAGCATGAGAATGGGTGAGAGTGGCGTGAGTCTGAGACTTTGGATTTAACCTGTGGCCCCTTCTGAACCTGACCCCCACTCCTCATGAGTACATTGGCCCTGGTCCCCCCCTTCCCCCCCCGTGCAGCCTAAAGTCCAGTCTGTGTCCTTCACCTTCCAAGAACAGTTAACACGGTGGCCTAGGTGCTGGACTCCTCACATGGTGCTCACTCAATGCCACATAAGGGCTATGCAGAAATCAACTGTCTCTGATAATAAAGAGAGGGATCTTGGCACCTCCCATTCTGCTTGTTTCTTGGTAAATCCTAGGCCCAGTGTAACTAGAAGATTATTTTTGGTTCATGCCATGGAGTCTGTGTGTCTTGTCCAAGATAAGAGAGAGCCATGGTGGGAGCCAAACCCTGGCTTAGGCCTGGGAGCCGACTCTGGCGTCCCATGGTGATGTGTGACTCTCACTGTCTCCTCTCCCTCGGGTCACCCCTCAGAGCCAGGGCCCAGCCGTTGCTGAGTAACAAAGAGTCGTTTGCCTCTCTGGATGCTTTCACCATATACTGAGTGCTTACTATAGGTCAGGCATTGAACTATTTCCATCATTACCTTCTTTAATTTTTATAACAACCTTATAAGGCCCATTTCACAGATAAGCACATCAAGTCAGAGAGGTTAACTAACTTGCCCAGGGTCAGATGGCTGCTCTCTCTAGCTGTAACACTCAGCCTTCCCAGCTATGGATAAACCCATTGCCTTGAATTATAAAATGGGAAAGAATGACAGGATTGACTTGAATTGACAGGGAGTGGGAAAAAAATTTTACCACACCCTTTCAAGCTTGCTTTTGTTGATGGAGAAAAACTTGAGTAAGCAAGTGAGCAAGCAGCACAGTTTAAATGGCTCCTCCCTCCAGCATGGACAGACCAAGATCTGTTTGATACAGAACAAATCCTCGAGCCTGGAGCAATTCCCTATTCTGAACAGGGGGGCCGGGCCTCTGGAGTGGGTCCACGATGGCACCTTCCTGGGCACCTCCCTGGTTCTGCAGTGCCCAGCCACAGGCCATGGGCCTTTCCATCTACTTTTAGACAGATGGCTGCATTCATAATAGACTCTGATGGGGACAGCTTACAAGGACAGCTGTCTGCCCAACTGATCACCAAACTCCTGGTGAAACAGTTGACATTTTCCAGCCACTGGTGTCTAATCCCCCAGCCTTTGCCTATGAGCGGATAACTGTGTGCCTAGCAATGTTCTCTTGATTCCATTCATTACTTACGACCCTTTGCTTGTCCACGTGACTCTCTTCAAGCTGATGAACTCCCCCACCGCCCCAGTTCCTCTTTCTGCTCCTTTTCTCCTTCCATTCCACCCATGTTAGGGATCTTGGAGGTAGAAGAGGAGAGTTCTGGACACATGTGTTGGCAGGGCCATGGTCATCAGATAACAATGAATCTATGACTTTCATTCAACAAATGGGTTGCCTAAAGAATGACACAAATCCGGACAGCTAATGACAGGAGCCATCCTGGGCCCAGCACTGGCCTCTGCAGCCAAGGCCATCCAAAAAATGGGAGCTGTGGCTCCCTACCTGCTCCAATCCCATGACCATCCAAATGTCTCTCCTGGGAAGTGGCCATAGGGCAGGGATTCGTAATAAAATCGCATTGCTGTGGATTTCCACCCCGCAGTCTATTAAAGCTTCTCTGTGATCATGTACCAAGTGTCGTTGTTCTGAGCTGCCCGCAAAAAGGGAGGAGGGCTACGTGGGCAGGAGCAGGCAAGATGCCAGATGACATCAGCTCTCCCATGACCCGCTTCAGCCGTTGTTTTGTTTTATGGCCCTTCTTCAAGTCCTCCGAGATCTCTGCTGTCTGAACTCACCCCAAAGAGATGAAGCAGCGGCCTATTCAGTTACTCCCCTCCTACTAAGTATTTCTGGCAGTGACAAATATGCATTGAGATTGAAATGGACTTTTAAAGCTCTGGAAAAGTTAAAAATACTTTTGGGTAGTTATGAGCATTAGGCATAACAAATGGCTCCGAGAAACCTGGGTAGTTTCGGTAATGAAATATGAAGTGCTGGGGGTGGCATTTCAGGCTGGCTCTGACTGGGGAAGGAACTCTTTGGATTCTGGGCAAACACCGTTATTAACATTTCTGGCTCCCACTCGTATAAAATATCACACTCCGACCCCCTCGTTGTTACAAACCAGGGCAATAACAAGAACAGCAGGGGGGAATGCTGGAAAGGACATATTAGTCCATCGAATCTAATTGCAAAATCATTTCATTAAAATGGGTCAGCGGTTCCATCGCAGAGGTCCACCAGTTATAATCTAACTATACTACAGAGAGCGATTCCTGCTAACTACAGACGCTCTCACCTTGATTAAAACAGAAACGCATTTAGTTGGTGGCAGTCCCCAGCCACAGCCCAGCCGGTGTACATCTTCAGGCTCATCGTGTTGAAGAGCAAACCATGCTCCCTCCTGTCTTTCAAAGGCATTTGATCAGTGCTCAGGGTTCCTCCACTTTGCAAGGATTCCACTGTAGCCGCCTTCTGAAGGAAAAATATATGCGTGTATACAAAGCATCCCTTCACGCCATCAGCATGGAGATCACTGGCAAGGGACAAGAGAGGATTGTCATTTAGCAGGGTTTGCAAAATGAAATTCACCCAGGACTCAGCATGCCGATGTATCTGGAGGGAGATGGCCCAGGTCAGAGTTATTCAGTGGGATGGATGCTAGCAAGCCAAGGGCAAGAGATTTGCATAATGCATTGGATTAGGAAGCAGCCCAAATAACTGCGGGGATAGGTGCACAGATTTTGCTCACACAAGCCTGGGGGTGGAAGGTGGGATGAAGGAGGGGGGCGGGGAGGGAGCAAAGAGGGAAAGGAGACAGGTCCAGGCCTCTGATCCCCTGTCTTCAGGAGAAGGTCTCACTTCAGAATCAGAGACTACCAAGTTCATCCGCAATCAAGGATTAGCATAGGTTGATAAGGTCAGGGGTAAGAAACCATGAGCATGGAAGATAGCTGCTTCCTGCCTCCCATAGCCCCCTGCAGGAGAGCGCCGTTCAATCCACCTCTGCCAAGCTGGACTCTATGATCAGTCCTACAAAGACTGGCATAAAGGTTTTGTCAAAATACACATCTGCAGGAAAGCATAGTATTAGTCACATGGGCCCTGGCATCCGCCTGCCTGGGTTCATCCCTCTGTCGTGTACCAGCTGATCCGATGGCCTCAGTCTTCTCATCTATAAAATGGAGTCATGATAATCTCAGAGAGTTGCAAGGATTAAATGGGCTTCCCCCTTCTGAAGTTTGAAGAATAGTGCCCGGCTTGTGGTCCATGCTCCATAAAAGTCAGCTATTATCACTAGCTACATGGATGTTTTGGTGGCCTCTGATATGCCAAACGTTCTACTAGGTTCTGGAAAATAACAGCAGTAGGATCGCAAATATCCACATGGGTCTCTTCCCTTCCCCAGAGCCTCTCCCCTGCCTTGCTCTTCCTTGCATTTGCACAACCATCCCCATGAGACGGGGCAAGTCCTAGACCCCCATTTGTCCATGTGGAGAGACTGAGGCTAGTAAGTGCCAGGGCCTGGACAAAGCCACGACTGCTAACGCTTCTATACTGGTACTGCCTCCCACTGGCCCTGTAGCAGATCAGACCCCTAAAGTCTGCCTCGGGCCGTTAAGTAACCCTGGGATATTCATGTTCTCTGAAACGCTTCCGGAACACTCACATACGGGACAGCTGATGTGCTAGGAGCACCCTGCTTACATGCTGGACAAACGTGGACCAAGCCTGTGTTTCATACCTAGCACGGCGCTAATGAAACGTTCACCCCTGTCAACTAGCTGGGGAGAACCAGGGCTTCCCCAGTGACCACCGCTGGGATTGCTGTTCTCACAAGGTTTGCCCGGGTGCCAAGGGATCATTTCTAACCAGTAAAGCAGCACCCAGGGCCTCTCCTGAGATGTTACTTGTTGATCCTCTTGCTGTTACTGTGCGACGTCAGGAGAGACTCGATGTCAAGAAAATAAATCTTAGTTCTCATCAGAACTGGCCTTTCACCATGGTTAAATGGAGCTTATTCTCAAAGACAGGGCAAATCACTTGGACCTTCACAAGGGTTGTACTTGTCTTGACAGTTTTTAAATGTTAATTTATTGCTATGATTGGTTTTAAAGAGGATCATCAGGCAACCCTGAGCCAAATTCCCAAGCCTTTAGGGCCTGAGCTCTAATTCCCCAGGTCCCCAACCTTCATTATTGTCTTCCCAATGCTGAGGCCTGGGGTCAGTGGTCATTGACCACCATATGCTGGGTCTCCTTTATTATTTCGTTACCTGCTTGAAGAGAACTGAGTTTTGACCCCCTTCCCTGACCTCATCCCCACCCTGACACAGCCCCCATCAAAACGCCATCGAAATCTCTTCATTGGAATTTTCATGAACATGCAGAGGGTCCACAGATTATGGGCATCACGGACTAAGTACTCTCCACCCCAAATTGTAGCCCACATTCTGTACACATGCACCTATGAGCATTTCTCTGAGGAGAACACAACTTTGCATCAGCTTCTCGAAAAAGTCCACGACCCACAAAAGCTTAAGAGCCCACAGAACTTGAGCCTGGTTTCCCAGAGGACTCAAATGATGAATGATAAAGACCAAATGGCAAGTGGGAGGCTGGGGTGGGGAGGGCACCAGCAAGGTGGCCACAAATGAAAGCAATGCTGTGTCTGTCCCTGGGACCCCCCCACATGTCTCCCCATCCCACTACCCACAACCTCGGCCCAGGCTGGGAGCCCCAGTGATCCTGACTGCCCTCTTTGGCCCCACCCAGGCTCAGAGGATTACCGCAGCAGGTTCAGCAGTGAGTGCTTCATGGACCTTGTATGCCCCGAGAAGTGTCGCTGCGAGGGTACCATCGTGGACTGCTCCAACCAGAAGCTGGCCCGCATCCCAAGCCACCTCCCCGAATACGTCACTGATCTGTAAGTACTACCTGGGCTGGAACTCCCTACACTGCCCCTAGCACCCCGTCACCCTGAGCCAGTCGGGGCAGGGTCTCTGGGAGGCAGCCCCCCTCCCGGCTCAGTCACATGGATGCTCCTTGGCCATCCTCCATGTCCTCAGCAGAGGATAGACACCCAGGCACCCCCCCGCCCACCACCATCAGGAACAGTTTCCTCAAAAATAAAAACCACTTGGGCGCCTGGGTGGCTCAGTTGGTTAAGCATCTGCCTTCGGCCCAGGTCGTGATCCCAGAGTCATGGGATCGAGCCCCGCATCGGGCTCCCTGCTCCGTGGGGAGCCTGCTTCTTCCTCTCCCACTCCCCCTGCTTGTGTTCCCTCTCTCACTGTGTCTCTCTCTGTCAAATAAATAAATAAAATCTTTAAAAAAATAAAAATAAAAATAAAAAAAATAAAAAAATAAAAACCACTAGTTCATTCGACAAATATTTTTGAACACCCACTGTGAGCCAGGCACGGTGCTAGGTCCACCAGCTTCCACAGTGCACAAAGCAGACAGTCCCTCCGGGTCCTTATGGAGCTTACTACATAACAGAAAGATGGTTAGTAAATAGTTGTCAGAGTCGAGAAAACACTGGAATGATGAGCTATATCTGAGCCTCCAGCTATACATGCTAATGAAAGGGTACCCTGGTTTGTCCGGAAATGGGAGAGCTAGAGAGCTACAGCATGGTAGGGGTGAGGGCACGACATGTGCGGGACGGACGGACGGACGTGTGACCCTGGTCATCTTGACTTTCCTCTCATTGGGCAAGTTGCTTCTCAGACCTCAGGGTCCGATTCCTAGCTGAAAAATGGAGGGGATGGTACGAACCTCCTAGGGGTTTAAGAAGATGAAGCAAGGGAATGCAAGCACGGAATTCATCTTGACTCATGCGAGGAGTGAGCTCCGCATAAATAATGGTGGTCTTAGTGGCGTTCGTGCTGGTGTTCTCTTTGACTTACACATCCCAGTAGCACACGGCCAGGCACAGCCTTCTGGGCCCTTGTGCCTTCCCTGAGTTTTCCCTGGCTCCACTGACCTTGGCTGAATGTGAGGCCCAGGTGGCAACTCAGTTCAAGCCATGGGGGAGCTGGGGAGGATTCCATGGAGGGCGGAGGAGGAGGCACCCCCATCCCCAGCTAACCCACCACCTCACCTCTTGTTTCTCATGTAGGCGACTGAACGACAATGAGCTATCTGTTCTCGAGGCCACTGGTATCTTCAAGAAGTTGCCCAACCTGCGGAAAATGTAAGTCAGCCCCGGGCACTTGGCAGCAGCCTGCAGGCCTGGCCAGGGTCCGTGCTGCAGACTAGAGCAGAAGGCCAGGTTACTGGGGGCTCCCTCGCCCTCTGGCCCAGACCCTCCCAGCCTCCTCCTGCCCCCACTATGGCACGTATCTTTGAAGCAGGACAGTAAGGCACAGCCATGCAGAGACAGACCAAAATGAAACTTCACTGTTTGGGGTTGGGTTGGGTTTTTTTTGTTTTTTTTTTAAAGATTTTATTTATTTATTTATTTGACAGAGACAGAGACAGCGAGAGCAGGGAGAGGGAGAAGCAGGCTTCCTGCTGAGCCAGGAGCCCGATGTGGGACTCGATCCCAGGACCCCGGGATCATGACCTGAGCCGAAGGCAGTCGCTTAACCAACTGAGCCACCCAGGCGCCCGGTTTTTTTTTTAATAAAGATTTTATTTATTTGAGACAGAGAGAGCAAGAGCGAGCATGAGCGGTGAGAAGGGGGGGGGGCGGAGGGAGAGGGAGAAGCAGACTCCCCGCTGAGCAGGGAGCCCGATTCGGGGCTCGACCCCAGGACCCTGATATCCTGACCTGAGTCATGAAGGCAGATGCGTAACCGACTAAGCCATCCAGGCGCCTCAAAACTTCACTGCTTTTAAATTGCCAAGTATTGTGCAGAGCGTGCATTTGGCACCATCCCTAATCCTCACTCCAGGTGCCCTCTGCTCATCCTGACCTTCCACACCCAGCATCTACCCCAAGGGGTGGCAAGAGGAACTCAGGTAAGGACCAGCAATGGGACACAGGACTCTAGGGTACATGTACGTCACTCAGGACTTTTTACGAGGTGACAATTAAAAGTTCTGTTATTAGATGGCCTTTACAGGCTTCTGCGTGGGTGAGGCACATTGGAGCAGAAATGCTAGATGTCTTGCACACTGGACTTCAGTCTAGGTGTCCCTGGATGTGACCAGAGCCTGACCTTAGGCAAAGGGCCCACATGTTTACATTGGCTTCTCCAGTGCCAGAGCTGCCTGTCCTCATAACCCCCTCCCTGCCTCCGAGGTTGGGCCAAACAAGAGTAATGTGACTGAGCTAAGGGAGCGTTTGTCCTGGGCCAGAGGCCACATTCCCTGCCTCATGCACATCAGCTCATGTAGTCCTTGTACACCTGCCTGGTGCTGGCCTCATATTCCCCTTCGTGTGGGTGAGGAAGCTGGCAAGGCTTCTCTAAGACCACACAGCCGATCAGTGTCGGAGCTGGTACTCAGACTGGGGTTCATCCATAGTCACACCAGTGTGCAGTTAGGCTTGCTTCCGCTCATCTTCCCTTCCCAGGGCCCTCACAGAGGTACCAGCACAGACAGGGGCTCTCTACCCTCTGATTCCCTTCTCCTCGGCCCCTCTCCCTGCGCCCACCCCAGGCTCCACACCTCCTGGCCCCAGAGTTGGGTTCAAAGGAAATAGAGTCAAGCCTCCTTATTCGCAAATCCCATATTTGCTGGTTCACTACTCGCTGAAACTTCTTTGTAATCTCAAAATCAGTACTCACGGTTCTTTCATGCTCATTTGTAGACACAGACAAAAGAGCAGAAAATTTGAGTTGTCCTGCATGCCTGTCCTCAGCTGATATCCAACAAGGCTGTGCTCTGATTTTTTGTTTCCGCTCTCGGACTGTAAACAAGTGTCCTTTTCACAGTGTATTTGGTGCCACATCTTTTTGCATGTTTATGCATTTTGTTGGTGGTTTTGCTGTTTAAATGGCCCCGACACATAGTGCTGCTAGGCTGTCTAGCCTTCCAAAGCACAAGAAGGCTACGATGTGCCTCGTGAAGAAAATACGTATGTTACATGGGCTTTGTTCAGACTCGAGTAATGGTCTACAGGCTGTGAGTGCCATGTAAGTAAATCAACCACATATATTAAATAAGATGTCTTTAAACAGAAACACACATCAGACAAGGTTATGTACTGATCAGCTGATGACAATGTTGTGACCAGAGGCCCACAGGAACTTAACCCTGTGTTTCCCCTAGGAGCCGTGGTTCAGCATTCCCTAATTCAGTTTCCCCATGACTTTGTAGACTATAACTACCGTGAATAATGAGAACTGACTGTAAACCTTTTTTTTTTTTGTCATGTTCTCCATTCTTCCACCCATCAGTCCCCTGCAGACAAGAAGGAGAAAGACCTTCCCCTGCCCTGGGCTGCACCTCCCTCCCTCCCTGCCCACAGCCACCACCTTGCCCACGTCCTCAGTGACTGCTCTGTAACTGGGAGCAGGAGAGAGCACTCTGAAGGCACAGAGGAGAGAGGGACACATGTGGGTCCTGGTGAGGATTGTGGCTGTCTGTGTGGTCAGGCTTCGGAAACTGAGCACAGACATCACCCATCACCTGCAAGGAAATGTCCTGTTTAATTCAAATGCATACTGTTTTAAACCTCAAAACAGTAACTTCCATGTGTATGGAGAGAAGGCAGGTATTTAAATGAGTAAGGCTGGCCAAGTACATATCTGCATAGTAAACAGGACGAAGTAATCTTTGCTTCCAGAGAGACATTACCCTCCCGTGTGAGGTGAAGCTCACACACTTTGAGTCTCTCTCTCATCTTCTCCCTTGCGACAGGGAAGGGAGAATAGAGAACCGTTTCTGTGCACCAAGAAAAACAACCACACAAACACAATGGTAAGTGACCACCAACTCCCAGCCTCAGCATCCAAGCCACAAGAAAGTGGTGGGGACCGTGGCAAAACACAAATCCAGTTCTCGCTGAAAGGGTCGAAGGTCACTGGGTTTGTCCCACTGTTTGCTGTGCTGGAATGAAGGTCCCGGCTGCCAAACATTCCCTGTAGCAGCCAGCAATCCAAGCGCGGCAAAGAACAGACCTGCATTTGTTCTCCCCAGCTCTGTCCCCCTCGTGCTGTGTCATCCTAGGATTGTCCTTAGCCTTGCTGAGCCCTAGTTACATTATTTGCATGGTAGAAAGAAATCTACCTTCCTTATAAGTTATGATGAGGATCAGAAATAAGTATGAAAAGGGGCGCCTGGGTGGCTCAGTCGTTAAGCATCTGCCTTCAGCTCAGGTCCTGGTCCCAGGGTCCTGGGATCGAGCCCCGCATCAGGCTCCCTGCTCCGCGGGAAGTCTGCTTCTCCCTTTCCCACTCCCCCTGCTTGTGTTCCCTCTCTCGCTGTGTCTCTCTGTCAAAATAAATAAATAAAATCTTAAAAAAATAAAAAATAAATAAAATAAAACCCCATTCAAAAAAGAAAAAGAAGTAAGTATGAAGAGGTCAGTGAAAGACACGCCACTGAACGTGGACCTGGGATGAAAAGGAGCAGGAAGACAGAAGAGCACATCTGGGTTGAGTGACCCAGGGTAGCTAGCTATATATTTAAAACAGGAGTTGCAAGTTCAGATACTTTCAAGATCCAGAGAGTAGCACAGTTGTGGAAAGGAACTTGGTGCATGGCAATAATTAATACTAATAATACTACTAATAGCAGCTAGCCACTAACGGTTACTAGACACTTCACTCTGGGCCAGACTGTACTGACATTAATTCATGTAACTCTCGCCAAGAAAAACAAAAAAGCTTTGAGATTGTTACATTTTACAAATAAGGAAGCTGAAACACAGAAAGTTATGTAACTTATCCAAGGTTAAAACTCAAGCAGCAGAGCCAGGAGTGGTAACAGTGCAGATCAGCTGGGGAATGCATGCCCCACCTGAAGGCAGTAATTACATGTGTGTGCACATGTATGTGTGCATAAATTCATATTCGTAGTACTAGCCAACCGAGCAAATGCCGAAGGAACAGATCTGGTCCCAAAGGCCACCAGCTGTAAGCACTTATTTAAAATAACTTGATGGCAGCTCTTTTTGTTAAGTAAAGGGTCTTAACTGGGACCCATCACCATCCCAACATCCCCATAGAGGTAGTGGGCCAACGGGATCAGGGTCAGGTTAAAAGCCAGCTGTGCCTGTGTCCAAGTCTACTAAGCTTCTGCAGGGACTGGGAAGTCAGGGCCCTAAGGTTATGCTCTTGACTTTACCCTGACCGGGCACAGGGGCCGAGGGGGCGGGGGAGTATAAAGCCAGGTGTTGAAACTCTACTGTGCCTTTACCTGTCCTGTGGGAATAATGAGATCTCCAAGAATATCACATGTACTAAGGGATGCCCTCCCCCTCCAAAAAAAAATGTATAAGCCATTCCCCAAAAGGATTATTGGTACAGTGGTAACTCCAGGCAACTCTTCAAATGACGTCACATTCAGACTGTGGTCATGGCGTCTCTCAGGCAGACTTTTAGGTCAGTTCCTACGCTGAAGGAGAATCTCAGCCATAGGCTGAAACCTGGCAGCCCTCTAGCCAAAATCAGGTACACACAGGCGAATTTGTTGACCATAGTTGTGTTTTTAGTAAGAATTAGTTGCCCACTTTTAAAAATCAGGAATATTCACGGAAAAAAAAAAATCCAAATTTCTGGCATCTTTTGGAAAATCAGAAGATCTGGTAAAACAGGGTCAAATGGCTGCAGTTGAGTTGAAGTGAGAAGCAGCTCCCCCCACTAAATCAGGCATTGCTTTTCTGGTCACTGGGCTTGTGGACTGTGCTATCCCCCTGGACCTGCTTCCTGCCTTAAGTCACCAGCCTGGACCCTGTGGACATTTGAGCTTGCAGCCCCAGCTGGAAATAGAATTTCCACGTCAGGGAGGAAGAGGTTCATAAAAAGGGTAGACGGGACCTCCCTGACCTGACAGCATGCCAGAGTGCTTGCTCCGTGATGACCCAGTATCCTTAGTTTCTAGAACAAAATCCACTTAGCTCTCTCCCCACTACATTTTCATCTGAGACTGGGCTTTAAACAGGATCACAGATGCCTCCCTGTTGCCAGAGTGCTTGGGCAGTCTTACAAGCCATGGGCTAGGAGAGGCCCAGGCTTGCCTCATCGGACTCAGGTTTCCAGGGGAAGCCAGACAAGTCCCCAGCCTGCGGGGCCTCATTGTTTCTTGGGACAGCCAACGGCCAGCAGAGGCAGCGGGGACACACACTGGGTTTCTCCTGGCGCTGTCCCTCTGAACTGCCTCCCCCGCCCCCACCCCCACCCCCACCCCAGCCTGCATGGGAGTTTTCCACGGCTGGACCCTTGTGTAAGATCCCGTCCTCATCAGAGTCAAAGCCAGGATGAAGCCATATTCCTTCGGGTGCATCTGTAGAGACAAAAATGGAGCGAGGCCTCCTGAGTGGTCCTGGCTTCACATTTGGGGTCCCTGGGATCTAGGGCATCTTCAGGAAGATAGCGCTCTGAGAGTAAGAGAGAGTTCCTACAAAAGCCCGATGCTCTCGTTTTGTGAGTGGAGTGCTTGCCCCAAGCTGCCTGTAGTTTTGAGCAGCGCTTTGATGAATGGAGAGACAGCCGCAGCCTGGTCTTCTGGAAAATTCTATCCCCTCCTTTTTTTCTCTCCTTATGTTTTCCATTCTCCCAACCTGAGGAAATCCAATTCACAAACCTTACAGTAATGTGATGTTAATTTTGCTCATTTGAAGAAACAGATGTCGGGAAATGGAAGCCCTCCCCCTTCATGGCTGCTTTAACTCATCTTCGTTGCCCGTCCTGTGTACTTTAATTCCCCACAGAGCCTAACTCTCTGGAGTAAAATCCTGCTCCTCCGGCATTCATATGAGTTACAGCTACTGGGAGAGCTTTTCTCTCTCCTCCCATGTCTAATTTGGGGGTAATTTTCAGTCTCCCCTTCATTCCTGGGTTATCCCAGACCAGGACTACCAGGATTTATTTAAAAAACAAACAAACAAACAAACAAACAGAAATGGCTGAGTTTAAGGAGAGCCAGCAAGGGGGAGGGGGGCAGAAATCCAGAGAGAGACTCCCAAATCTCTCAGCCCTTGAGGGCAGGATGCTGAGGAGTCTTTCTCCTGTTTCCTTGGCAGGACGGAAGGGGCAGGAGAGCAGGGCCATGACAGGAGCACTGACGGTGCCGACAAGGCACCAGCTGTTGCCTCCACACCTGCACATAGGCATGGGCACTGCCCTGCCTTGCAGGCCCAGGCCCTACGTAGGAAGGAGGCACCAAACTGGCGTCCAGCCCGTGGGCGCCCAGTTCCATCGCCAGCTCTGAGGCGGTTGCCGAGGGAAGCTTCACCCCCCGGGGTTGCCGTGGGTCAGCCCAGAGCTGCGCACGGGCGCGTGGGAGAGGCAAAAGCACCATGGGCTCAGCTGTGGGTCCTAACATCCTCAGTGTGCTTAGAGGGTCAGCGGGCTCCGTCTACACCTGCAGCTTTGCTGTTTGCAGAACACCATTCCTGTGCAAGGCACGGGCAGGCTCTTTGCTCCAGAGACTGGATTTTGCCCCCAGTTTGTGTAAACACCATCACTCTCCACTCCATCCGTCCTGTCTGGGATGAATTTCAGGCTGACTGGGTGGCCCACGGAGGCTCCCTGCCAAGGAGCGCCCTGGAGGACTCGCAGCCCCGGTGGCCCTGCAGGAGCTCTCGAGAGGCCTGGCCTGTGGTATCAGGCATTGGAGGGAAAGGCCTTCTCGGAGCTCGAGCAGAACTGGAAAGGGTGGCGCCAAGGCTTCGCAGGACCAAGCTGTTGGAAAATACAACATGCAAGCCCTGAATTCTGCAAAGCAGTAACAGAAGGGTGTGAGTGTCCACAGCACCAAAGGAACATTCACTTGGGAGGACTTTTGATGCACCAGAAAGCCTGGCCCCAATCCCAGTTCTATCAGCTGTGTGATTCTGGGCAAGTCACTTAAACTCTCTGAACCTCAGTCACCTCATCCATAAAATGAGACAATGATAATACACGTAATACTCTTCTGATAGGTGTAGTTTCAAGGATTTGATGTGATTCTGTGGGCCAAACCCCTCACGTGGAACCAAATGCATAGTAAGTGCTCAGAGAGTAGTAACTAGAAAGTGTCCATTTATATCAAGGATCTCAACTGTAGAGCTAGAAGCTCTACAAATGTCCCACCCCCACAGAGGGCACATTTTATATTTTTTTCTGGCCTTCCATGTGAGAAGCACTGCTAGGCAAGTGTTTCTGATGAAGGGAGAAAAATCAGTTTGAGAATCGCCATTTTAAATGTGCTCGTACCTGGGGCTTAGAAAAAAGGATCACCCTGAAAAGACTTCAGGCTGCATGCAGCCTGTTTCACAGGGTAGCCCCAACAGTGGAGGACTGGGGTCCTTGCTCCACAGCCACGGGTGCTGAAGACCAAGGCATCAGGGAGCCCCACCATCCTGTCCTTGGTCCAAGGGCGCCTGAGGGTCCCCCCTGACTGCAGGGTTCATGATTCCCTCCCTGCATCCTGACCCACTCTCTCTCCTCCTTCTAGAAACCTGAGTAACAACAAGATCAAGGAGGTGAGAGAGGGTGCCTTCGATGGAGCGGCCGGTGTGCAGGAGCTGATGCTGACCGGGAACCAGCTGGAAACACTGCATGGACGCATGTTCCGGGGACTCAGCAGCCTCAAGACCCTGTGAGTGCCTGGATCCTGGGCCAAGGCCTGCAAGGAGATGGGAGGACGGGGGCCTCGGAGGGGGATTACGAAGGCTGGCGGGCAGCTCCTGGGCCCTGTCCTAACAAGCTGAGTGCCTTCCTTCCTGGAGCCAGAGACGCACTAGACATTTCCCAGGCCTCGATGGGAAACCGCTTAGCATGCTCAGCAACCCCAGCGCACGCACCCTGAAAGATACTTGCCCTAAGGTGTACACGTAGATAGATTCATGCTGAAACTGTGCTGAGAGGGGCACACACACACTCACCCACTTAGATATAGACACATAAACATAAAAATGACACACAGGCCACGTGCCGAGAAGCACATACACAAACAAGCTGATGGCCCACAGCCACATCTTGATTCTCCTTTCTCCTCCCAGAAATAGACATGCAGACACTGACCACCATACAACATACATGTGTACACATAGACACTCATGACACCCATATTTACTGTACATAAAGCATGCACAGACAAGAAGGTACGCACACATCCACAGGCAGCCACAGTGGGGACCCACACCCTATCACAGAACAAACCTCAGCAACATGACTAGTCTGGCCTGGAGTTGGCAAAAGCTTCACACACACACGCACGCACACACACACCCTGTGGCTCTGTGGTGGAGAGAAGATAATGCCTGTGCACCCTCATCCCTATCCCTCTCCTTACAGGATGCTGAGGAGTAACCTGATCAACTGCGTGAGCAATGACACGTTTGCTGGCCTGAGTTCAGTGAGGCTGCTGTCCCTCTATGACAATCGGATCACCACCATCACCCCTGGAGCCTTCACCACACTTGTCTCCCTATCTACCATGTAAGTCCTCCTGGACCCACTGCACACTGACTCTGGGCTCCTCTCCTGCACACCTCTCCCCAGGCAGCTCCCTACCATGTTTGGCCACAGTCACCTACCCATCTGTCAACGTAAGAACCACTTGCTGGGCTCCCTCCATGTGCCAGGCACCATCGAAGTGCTAAGAATTCACAGACATGGTCCCTCCTTTCTGGAGCTCACAGCATAGTGAATTACCACAGAAGGGAGGTCCACGGTGATATGAAAACCCAACACAGGCTTTGTCAAAGAACACTGGAGCTGGGTTCTGGAAGGTGAGTGGGAGTTAGCTTGTTCAAGAAAGTGGGAAGTGTATTTCCTTCTATCAGAAGAACATGTGCAAAGGCTCTGTGGTGGGTTGTCACAGAGCAGATGCATGAGACTGAGCACAGTCCAACATGGTCATAGCACAGAGTAAGGGAGGATAAGGTATAAGGCAAGGCAGAAGGGAGGCCAGGCCAGGGCCAGGCTACAGGCCTGCCATGGACTATTTTGGTCTTCATCAAAAGCCACTGAAGGTTTTAAGCAGGCCAGTGACATGATCTGACAGTGGGTTTTAAATGATGTCACTGGCCGCTTAAATGTGTATCAGAACCAGAATTAGAATCTAGCCTTCTGGACACCTAAATGAGTGCTCCTGCCTGGATAATTCATTGTATTGGTAAAGGAGGCTTTAGAATAGTAAAGTGATGGGCTCTAGAGCAAATTTCCTGGTTTCAAACCCTGGCTTTACCTCTTATTAGCTGTGTGACCTTAGAAAAGTTACTTCATCTCTCTGTGTTTGAATTGTTCCTTCTGTATAATCCATCTCATAGGATTGTTACGAAGATTGAATCCGTTAATATTTGTAAAATGCAAAGGAGGGGCCTGAGATATAGAAAGTACTCAACACACGTTAGCCTTTATGGTTGTGCATAGTATTTCCACGTGGCTCTGCTAACCTTAGTTGCTGGTCCATTCCTCTCTCTCTTTCCTTCCCTAATGACTCTCTCAAAGACAGAAGAGAAAGGCTTTTGGTTGCATCTCCTGTTGCCACCTATTGTTCCCAAATACCCACCTCCCTGGGAATAAAAGCCAAATTATAGATGTCCTATAGGGCCCACACCATCCGGTCCCTCCTAACCTACCTCCAGGCCAGCACCGCCCCCCCAGCCTCCTCACTGCCCCCCACACCCTAGACCCACTCCCACTACCTGAAACAGCCTTCCCTGGCCTCCCTCCCCTCCTTCCATCCTTTGCTCAAGTGTGGGTGCCTCACCCCGCTCTGCCCCCGTGCCATCCCCCCTAGTTCCTCAGCCCAGGTCTCCTTACCATTTCCTTAGCACGGACCGTTTCCTGATAGACCATACAACCGACGTTTGGGTTGTTGATTCCATGCTGTCTGCCTCCCATCAGCTGGAATGGAAGTTCCAGAAGGACAGGGATGTGCAGCTCTTCTGTGCACCGCTGTGTCCACAATGCCTGGGTCAGTGCCTGGCACTAAGTAGGGCCCATTATATACCTGGTGAACCAAGGTGTGAATGGAACGAATGAGTGGCAGCACGGCGGGCGGCCGGGGGCTAAGAACTAGCGCCAGCAGGTTGGTTTACTTTAGCTCACTTTCTACCCCTCCTGTGTGTCTCCACACTGAGAATCCAGACACATACAAGATGCCCAGAGGTACAGTCACAATTCATTAGGGGAACCAGCTTTGACGCAAGAAGAAACTCGCCTGACTCGGCACAGCTGCTGAACGTCAGCGTCAGGATTCAAACCCGGGATGTCTGACTCCCGAGCTCTTAATTTGTCCTGTCATACCACAGCAACTCAGGGCCACCTGGCCTCTCATGTAACCTCCTTAAGCTTTACTTTCCTCCTGTGTGAGATGAGAATAATGTCCCCTCCATCCTCGGGCTTATGAAGTGCTGAGCCTGGTTCCAGTCCCCCAGGCAACACGCAGACCCACAGCTGCTCTGCCCCCATCCCTCCACCAGTCTGTTCACTGCATTCCTCAGATACATATACACACACAGTGACAGTGCTGATGCCATGCAGGACCCCAGAGACACAGGACAGACAGGTCTGATGCCCACCCTGGGGAGCCGAGAGTCTAAGGAGGGAGGCACACATTGCACGGCCAGTGTGGCTGCTGAGCAGGCCACGTGGGCGAGTGAGGGAGGAGGCTGGGACAGGTGCAGCTTCTAGTCTCCCTGTCTACGCCAGGACGGAAGGAGGAGGAGGCGGCCAGGCAGACAGCAGAGAGAGTCATGCCAGGCCGGGGACCAGCGCTGGTGGAGGCACTAAGTGTAAGAGAACCGTGCTGCGGGATTGAAGACAGTCCATAGGTGGAGCTCAGCGGAGAAGGGAGGACGCGGCAGGAGACCATGGTCCTGTCCGTCCACAGAGGTCTGGAATGAGACCCTCGCAAAGACTGCCTCTGGATTCTAGAAGAGAGTCTGCATTTCCTTTCCTGGACCTCCTCTCTCCTTCCCTGGAACCCAGAGCAGGCCTCCTTGGGGAGCCGGGCCCCAGGGTTGCAGCCCTGGGTCCCGAGGCCAGCTTCCCCAGTAGAGCGGCAGGTGCTAACCACTCAGAGGGCCCTTTTTTCCTCCCAGAAACCTCCTGTCCAACCCCTTCAACTGCAACTGCCACCTGGCCTGGCTCGGCAAGTGGTTGAGGAAGAGGCGGATCGTGAGCGGGAACCCCCGGTGCCAGAAGCCATTCTTCCTCAAGGAGATCCCCATCCAGGATGTGGCCAGCCAGGACTTTACCTGTGAAGGTGAGGAGGCTGGGGGGCGGGGCAGAGGGGCAATACCTGGGAAGGCAAGAAAGATAAGAGAGGAGAGGTGCAGCAGGTAACTAATGGCCAGGACCCCCTGAGATCTGACACTGCTCTGCCCTCTGGCATGCAGCTGTGGCTCTGAAGGGCTCTATGGGGCTCTGTAGGTCTGCTGCTAACCATATGGCTCCCTTATGCAAATTAAGAAAGGGGGCCTCTTCCTAAAGACATTTTGCTTCTATCAGAAATGTGTCATAATATACTGATTTTTTTAAAACAAGACACTTTATGGCTGTCTATGAGAATACTGTTGTACTAAATGTCCTAATCTATCATATCCACAGTGAGATCGGTGCCCATTAGATGGTGAGGCACCCTTGTGCAGTATGCAACCTACACAACCGTGCATGAGAGCCCTGGCCCTCAGTTTTCCTATCTATGTCATGAGGCTCAGTGTATCCTGAGAAACAGACTTCAAGATGAGCTCCTGGGAAATTTCTGTCACTGGCTGGGCGGGTTATGAATACCTGGAGGTCCAAGGCTTTAAGTGTCAGGATTCCAAAGGACATATTTACATAAATTCAGCCAGCACATTTTTTACTTGGTCAGCTATAGCTTATCTAAAGACAAATTAACTGGTTTGTAGATTAACTGAGGTTAAGGTATAATGGGCTGGGGACACATTTACCACCCCAGACGGATTGTGTCGGTGGAAGGAGTGGAGAACAGTAGGAGAAAGAGGGAGTAGACAGGGCTCTCCGCCTACCCTGGAGCACTCCTTTAGTCAGTTTGGCTTATTCTGGATTCGGTTCACAGTCATCTCTTCCCTATCTAATACTCTGGTTAATCAAGTTTTTAAAGTCTTCAATTTATGTTGAACATGGTAGCAGAGGGGTGGCCCTTTTCCCCGATCCAGACATACATTCTTTCCCCTTTACCCATGGAGGAGACCAGCAGCCTCCTTATTTCTGGTTCAGGCTCAGAGTGGAGGGCTTCCCTTTCCTGAAGACGGCTTGGTCCCTGGCACCCAGCCTCGCTCACCTGCCCCGCCCCCCCCAGAGAAGCTAGTGTCCCCCCATGCTCACTTTGGGACCCTCCACAGGCAATGACGAGAGTAGCTGCCAGGTGGGCCCCCACTGCCCAGAGCAGTGCACCTGCGTGGAGACGGTGGTCCGGTGCAGCAACAGGGGGCTGCACGCCCTCCCCAAAGGCATTCCCAAGGACGTGACCGAACTGTAAGTACTCCCACCCTCTAACCCCACCTCCGCCAGCATCCGCCACGCTTTATCTCCAGTGTCCCCTGCACGACTGCCTGGGGCGCCCTTCCTTGACTGGACCCTGGCACCGCGGCAGCAGAGCCCCGGCCAAGGGGTCGGGCAGCAGCTTCGACACGGGGACAGGAAGCACTCCTCCCCAGTGCCTCTGCCTGGCCGGCGACGACTACTTGGCCCTCCAGAATACAAGCAGGAGGGTTACCATCTTGTTTTCTAGATGCCCCCCCACCCAAGCCCCCTGCTCTGTACTCCACCTTCCAGATTCCCCAGCAGTCTCTCAGTCTGACACCAGAAACAGCCCAGATCGTTGTAAAAACGATGCCCAGCAGGCACCGTGGCTTCCGGAGCACTTCTACCAACCTGCTCCCTCTTACGGCTACCTATGTTACAGGTGAAATCTTAGTCCTGAGTCCTGCTCATGCTCCACCCGGGAGCCATCTGACTCCCCACACCAACTCCTCAGGGCTGCTCCTGCCCCAGAGGCTCCCACTTAACAAAAGAGATCTCATTCCCTTCCTGAGGCACTCTTCATGCTGTGGAGGAAACTGCCTTCCCGCCCCCTGGAAAGCTCAGCCAGTCCACGGGCAGGAAGGTGTCCCTGGAACGGCCCAGAGCACAGCCCTCACTCACTCAGCGCCTGTCTGTTGCATGCCTGGTGGGTCGGGTTCCTCTGCTCGCACTGGGGAGACCCCCACCATGTGGGGCCCCCAGGTCACTGGGAAGGGAGACGTATGCTCCACTGTCTCAGCAGCATGTGCAAGATGAGAACTATGACAGTGCCACAAAAGAGAGGGCAAGGTCACTGTGACACCCTAGAGTAGAGAGGCTCCCCTTGGTGTGGAGATCAGAGAAAGCTTCTCTGTGGAGATGAAGCCTGAAGGGTGAGGAGCAGATCCGGGGCGGGGGAGGCAGGAGGGGCGGCAGCTGCTGCGGGTTGTGGCAGGCAGAGCCTGGTGGGGTGTGACCGGGACCCAGAGTGCCAGCACGGGAAGACACACTCGCATGCCACTCCCCAGCCACATCGCAAGCGTGCACTGTGTCCCCGGACCCTGGGCATGCCCCTTCCTCTGGGACAGCTTAGCATGCACCCTGCCCTCTGACACAAGTGACAGAATTGACCAAGACACCAGCAGGGACTGTTCCTCCCACTGGGACTGGCTCTGCCAGTGCTTCGGGGGGAGGTGGGGGGGGGAACCTGAGTAGGACACTGACTTAGAATAGCAGGTCAATGCCTGGGTGTGTTGTGGCTCCCAGCATCTCCCCGACACTCAAGGAGGCTGGAACCGGGCTGCCAGGAAAGGGAGGGAGGGAGGGAGGGAGGGCGGAAGGAAGGAAGGAAGGAAGGAAGGAAGGAAGGAAGGAAGGAAGGAAGGAAGGAAGGAAGGAAGGAAGGAAGGACTTGATAGTCACTAAAAGGCCCACGACACCCTGTGTTTGGGCTCTGGCTGTGCTGCTGAGGTCTGCAAGAGCACCGCCTCATGGCGCCACCAGCCCTGGGCCCTTCCCTCTGCCGGTGGCATGGGGTGGGGGCTGCAGAAATGACCCAGGTACTCGCCTCCTTCCTGGACCAACTGAGTGCCAAGTGACACGTGCCAAAGAGAAGAAAATGCCATGAAAACAGGCCTGTGGATGCTTTTCCCCAAAGCTCATGAAATAGAGATTGAAATAACAAAGATAATTGGCTGTAATGATAAAGTAAACACCAGAGCTTGGGGAGACCTGATCTCCTGCTTTGGAAATGATGGCACCCCCCCACAGCCACACTGGTTTCCAAAGCACACCCAGGATGGCAGCCCCGAGCTCTGAGCCCAGACCATCTCCCGGAGGCAGTGGAGGAGGAGTATCAGGGGAGGGGTCCGGGTAAGGGGGGAGCAGGGAAATTGATGCCAGAGAAAGTGAAAGTCAACCGGTCCAGAAAGCAGTAGCTTGGAGGCCTCAGGTTCAAGGACCAGAATCAGTGTTTGGATCCAGGGCTGGCTTTCCAGCTCCCTCAGGCATCATCAGTGGTCTCAGGCAGAGCTGCCAATGTACAAAACAAAATTAAGTTTAATTCACTGAGAAGGAAAAAAAACAACAACAAAGTTCCATAGCATTTCTCCAAAGGGAGGGTAAGGGAGCCTACTGCAGGCACGAGCGAGCAAGGTAGTACCTTACAGGCGGGAAGTGAGTTTTCCTCTGTCAGCCCTCTGCAAACCCCCGGCCTGCTCTCTTCTTGAGTGAGGGCCACCTGGGACCTGCGGCTCTCACCCTTGCTGGTTCAAGCAGTCCCTGAGGTAGGCATGCAGTCCTCCTGGCTCTCTCTCAGTGCTGAGAACCAAGAGCCACTCCCCAAGCCTCATCTCCAGTAAAGCAGCCAATCAGGATCAGAAGGTAGCTTGGTCTGACCCCAGATCCCATGCTCTTGTCCCCTACCCCAGAAGTTCTTAAATTTGGGGTCTCAAGACCCCTTTAGGTTTTTCAGAAGCAATGAGGACTCTGCTTTTGTTTATGTGGTTATAGCTACTGATATTTACCAAACTGGAAAGTACTACTGAGAAATTTTTTTAAATGTTTATTAATCCATTTAGAAATAATTTACTCATTACATGTTTGTATAAATAGCAAACTTCTATGAAAAACAAACAGAAAGAAATTTAATTGAGATGAGTGACATTTTTACAAATGTGGTAGAAGGCAACTGGATTTTCATAACCACTTCAGCATTCTCTCTGTGGTGATACGATGTTTTAGGTCAAGTACAAGAAGAGAATCTGGCTTCACATAGACATGTAGTTGGAAAAGGGAGGAGACTTTTAATAGCCCTTCCAAATAATTGTGGATATTCTTCTTTGATGATACACCAAAATCACATGGTGGAAGTTTCTTAAAGGCCAGTTGTTGTGTGGAACCCAAAACCACATCAATGGACTTTCTATACTCTGTTACTTGAATGGAGCTTTCCCCCATGAAGGATCCTGTAACAGTGTGCATTGGTCATTGGGAAGATGCTCCTTCACTGAGTTATGCAGATCTTCCTGAAGTTGGCACCTTGCATTACACAGTATCAAAAACGTCCTAGCCGGTAACATCACCACAGATGCCCTCAGAAGAGTCTCCCAGTAAAGGGATACTGCTCAGTGTAGCAGTTATAAGTTTTCTAAACTTTGAATTTTCACTTGGAAGCAAGCTTGAATTTTATCACTGCCGGTAAGTACTAGTAGTTGTTTTCCTGGAAGTGACAGGCTTATTTTTTTTTTTTTAAAGATTTTATTTATTTATTTGAGAGAGAGAATGAGAGACAGAGAGCACGAGAGGGAAGAGGATCAGAGGGAGAAGCAGACCCCCTGCTGAGCAGGGAGCCCGATGTGGGACTCGATCCCAGGACTCCAGGATCATGACCCAAGCCGAAGGCAGTCGCCCAACCAACTGAGCCACCCAGGCGCCCCTGACAGGCTTATTATTATTATTATTTTTTTTTTTTTTTTTTTACTTTTGAGACATTGTCTACTAAATATCCATCCCAGAATAACCTGTTTGCTAGTCATTCTTTTAAGGAGAAATGGTGTTTTATGGAAGAAAATTTTTAAAAAACGGCTAGTTCAGCTTGTAACTCAGTGAAACCAGAGCTTTTTCTCTGGAAAACCAAAGCCGAAATGCTTTATGCGTGTTTCCTGTCTTGCCACGCAGAATATTAAAAAGATGTGTGTTCAAGGGTTGATGTTTAAAGCAATTAATAATTTTTCACTGCTTCACGGAGGGCATTCTCAAGTGCAACTGGCTTTTTTTTTTTTTACCTGCATGTACTTAAAGGGGAAGACTATAGTCTTGTTATCATGTGGTGTCACAGCCTTGATTCATACTGAGGTGTCAGCAGTTTTCCTCACACAGTATAAATGGAAAACAATATTCTAATGTTATCAAAGAAGTAGTTCCAGTCTCACAGAGCCCTGAAAAAGTCTAGAGGAGCCCCAGTGGCCTGCGGACCACACTTTAAGAACCACTCAGGTAATTACACACTAGCAGGCAAACAATCCAGACCCCTACTAGAAGTCAACAGCAGGGTCCTGATTTAGAAGCAAGCCTACAAAAGCTTACTGACAGCAGGGCAGAAGCAGACATATCAGCCCCCAAGGTAGGTGACACAAATTCAGTCTGCAAAGGTAGGCCCTCATCAGCTTCAGAAAAGTTCTGTTCTTGCTGGGCCATGAGCCTCGTAGACTCAGGCTCACCATTCCGGAAGAACTGAGACCTAAAAACTCTCTTTGCTTGCATTTAAGGGGATGTTTATTAACATCAGACCTTCCTGATTCTGGAAACAAACCCTGTAAATCCACATCTTCCTGAGGGCTAGAGAGGAGAATGAGAATCTAGTGCCAGCAAACAATGCACCCCTCCCCATCTCCTGCAGTCCACTCCTTCTTAATATCCAGGAAATTTTGAAACTGATTTCCGTGTGAGGACTGTGAGCATGGATTTGTTTTCCCACCACTGACATCCCGAGGAGAGGAGAAGGGAAGGATGACATATCTCCCCCAGGTACCACTGTTGGAAGAGGGGATTTATGCTGGGGTGTGGAGTCTGTGGACATCCTGGGAAGCAGACTCACGGTACGCACACATCCACAGCACTGATAGGAGGCTTGAAAGGGTTTGGGGCTTAACCACCAGAGCACGGGCTGAGACAAAGCTCTGTGAGACTGAGTATGGCAGGAGGTAATGAGAAGAATGCACTGCTTGAAGGAGGGGGGTAAGACCTGGCCTGGCACTGGTTAACTCCAGGGGGCCCGAAGATGGGGATCTGGGGTACAGCAAGCAGCTCAAATCTAGGGCGACAGAGGTGCGTGCTAGAGAAGGGGTAGAGCAATGTAGGAAGTGACAAGCACGGAGGAGTGGCAGGGACAGAATGTGCTCTGGGATAGGGAGGAGGGCAGGCAGTTCTGCCCACCCTAGGCTTTAGGAAACCAAGGGAAGATGTGTCTGGCC